TTCCCAGATAAAGTTAGAGAATCCTGAACCTCAGAAACTGGGATTCAGCCTCCCACCGCCTCAGGGCTTTGAAAACGTCATGTAGTGGACAAGGATTCAGTGAAATGCCGAGCACTTTGAAAGGATGTGAAACTGGGAAACTGGTAGTCAGTCAGGTTCTGATAAGTGGAATGTCATGAATTGCAAATGATTCAGTTTTAGGTAAGCCAAAAATCACTTCCCTTTCCTTTTAAAGGTCTGTAAGCCAGGGGTGTATGTGTGTGGGAGGGGGGGGATTCATTCTGAGGGGGAAAAAAAAAAAAAAGCATATGTTTAACTCTCTTATTTCTGTCCCAAAATAGTTTGCCAATGTTACAATGAATTTGCAGACACTTCACTTGCCTTTAATTTATTCATTGTAAAAATGCCCTCTAACCCCAGCTCCTTGTTCAGGTGTTCTTAAGAACATCAGGAGACAAGGAGTTTGCAGTGACATTTATGTATGGAAAATGTGAGCGGAACCTTCTTCCTCACAGGGAAAGACATTGGATAAATTGATAAGAAACTGAGGTTCATTGGGAAAAAAGTCAGACTTCTGCTTTTGACTTCAGTATTGATTTTATTGAAAAGTAAGGTCTTTTCCTGCGTTTCATCCTCTACTTGCCAGCAAAAACAAACAGCTAATGGCTGGATGGCAGGCACAAGATCAAGATGAAGAGCAGGAGCAGCTTCACAGCTGTGCTGCCCTGGGACTGGGACGGCATTTTCATTAGCTATCCCTCGAAATGTGTTTATTTGTATAGGGTGTCTGAAGGATTTAGCTGTGCTCACGGCTTGTGTGTGAAGGCTCCCCTTGCACAGGAATGTCACTGCAGCAAGATCTGACATGTCCTCAGGTCAGAAAGGCAAACGTGCTCCTCAAATCTGTCTTCCCAGCTGGGGTTAAAATGCAAAATTTCCTGAGTGAGGCTAGAGGACAGCCGATGCCGTGCGGTGTCAGCAAAGAGGTAGTGGAGGTGCTAATTAAACAGCTCCTCCTCAGGAATCAGCTTCCAAATTGAAGTTGGCTTCTTTGCATATGAATGAGGAAACACGCAGCAGCTCTTCAAACCTAGCCAACAAGACACTACAAACCTCAGCATCGGCTTACGTTGCCCTTTTTCTGGTTACAGCAGGCTGAGGGCCCAGCTCTGGCTGCCAGGAGCAGGAGGGAGAGCGTTTGTCCTGCTCAGGACTAAAAGGCACCTTTTCCATTGGAATCCTGTGAGATTTCCCTGGGGATGGCCCCAGCTCCCCGCTTGGGCTGTGGTTGCTCTTGCCGGGCAGTGGCAGCAGCTGTCAGGGTGCAGGCAGGTTTCTTGCTCCTGTTTGATGTCTCTTTTTGGAGCCTCCAGGGAGCTGCTGCTTGCCTCCCATCCTTGCTGTGTTTGTAATGGGTGGCTTAATGCTCCTGTCAAACCCTGCTTGACGTACCAGAAAGGAGACTCCTCTTCCACAGGTGCTGAAGGCACATCCTCTGAAGTGAATCAAGCCAGTCTTAAAAAGCACCTTAAAATACCCAATATCAGGTGCTTTTTTTTTTTTTTTTTTTTTTTTTATTCTAGTCATAGGCTCAGGCTGGTTGGCCCCAAGTCCTGCAAGGTGCTCAGCCCAGGCAAGAGCCTGCCCGTGCTGCCCTGGAGGGCTCAGCTCTGCCACTCAGGCTTTGGGGTGTCCACAGGACTCCACCACGAAGCCTGGGACAACCCGGCTTCCTAAATGCTTTTCTTCACTGTTTTACCCCAGGGCTGTCTGCTTGGTGCTGCCTCCAGCATTAAATCCTCATGGAGCGCAGTGGATGGGGATTCCTATCTACGCAGCGCGCTTTCTAGTACAGTATCACTGCTGACACCTGCAGTAGCAGCCAGCTGGGGACTAATGGTTTCCTGTATCCACTTTTAGCATTGTCTGCCACTATTGTTCACTCTTTGGCAAGATCCAGCAGCTGGGAATCATTTCAGAAAGTCTGCCTCACCAGATCCAGGGATATGAGTCCCACTTGCCATTGCCAGGCAGCTTTTAATGGTGAGATGAAAAAGCTGTTCTCACCCAGGAGAGGCATTACAGACAGTGTTTTAGAAACATAGGAGATGATAGACTCAGGAGGATACTTGCCTGGCCCTTGGGCTCTCTGAGTGCCCAAATCCGTGGGGAGATTTGTTGACAGAGCAGGTTACATCAGAGCTGAACTCAGCGACGTGGCGCCTGTTCAAGGAAGATGTAGTGCGATTGCTGTGTTCCCATGCGGCTCGGAGCACTGAGCTAACACAACGGCTCTCTGGCAGGAGGCAGCTGCTCCTGAACCCTCTCCAGCAGGAGACATTAATGGAAAGAGTCGCTATCCCTTCCCTATCCCTTTCTCCTCTTATAGCTAATAGTAAAATCAAGCATATCGCTGTTTGTGCCCAGTATCTGGGGAAGATGCTTAGCTGAGAGCCTTTGAAGGAAAATTCCTGAGATGACTGTCCTCCAACTTTACCGGCACTGGGTTAGTCAGAGCTGAATCAGAGGAGTCAGCGCTAGCAGCAAAAGCACTTCTCCTTGGCCCTCTCAGCTCTCAGCCTTTCCAACCTGAGTGCCAGTTAATACTAACATTGCAATGAACTCGGGCTCACGGAAAGCTGAATCAAACACCCTGCTTCCGCCACAAAATAAGCAGGGTTTTCTTTGAACTGTGGCAGATCAGACACTAGAAAAATATTGGAGCCCCGCGCACAACTGATGCCTCCAAAAAATGACATGAATTTCCAGTGTGTGATTGCTTGTTTTGCTCTCTGCTGATGAGGATGGATGTAATCAGGGAAGCGGTCCCCCAGGAGCAAGCAGGGATATAAAAAACAGAAGCCATTTTGCACAACCTGGTGGTAAGTACCATGCAGTTCATGGCTTTAGAGAAAGCAAAGGCTGCGAGATTTCTTAAACCTACAGTTTTTCTTATTTCCTACCAGTTTGCTACAGGTTGCTGTCAAAACAAGACCATAAACTGTGCAGATTATTGCTCTCACCTGGCAGAGGCACTCCTCAGAGTTTGCAGGTTTTAGTGATCCAGAGCCAAGAAATTTCTTTACCACCTACAAAAGTGATGGGAGAGCAAATGCATGCCATCACTGTCAAAAATTCATCCTGTTATTTTATTTTATTTATTTATTTGTTTATTTATTTATTTATTTCTGTGAATATCATCTGATTGTGTTTTATTACCGATACCTTACCGGTTGGAATCTGGCTTTGTGCAGCTCTAACACTCAGCTGTGCCTGCACCGTAGCAAACGCTGCCTGCAATGACCAGCCCGTGGTATTACCAATTGTTCAGCTTTTCTCTGTCGTTAAAGCAGAATCTAGTGATTGGGTTTGCAGATTACACTGTGTAGTAATGGCTAATAAATCTTGACATTTTCATGGTGACTGCTGTACTTTGGGCACACCATTAATAATGTTCCTTTAAAAGAGCCCTGGCTTATCAAACGTTGATGGTTAATGCTGTTAAAATGTCAGACACGTGCAGCCTGGTTCTGGCACAAATTCCATGGCGACGTTATTGCTCCCCGATAATGTATATCATTCGAAGTTATAACGTTACTAAGTGCATTCCTCTTTTCTACTGCTCTGTAACAGCATTTCAGCACCTGATAAACTGCACCACGTCTGCACTGTGACCAGAGCTCATGGCTGTCAAGTATACTACACCAAAACAAGGAAACATTTTCCTCCAGGAATATTTCCTGACAAATCTGGTTCTAATGCTATTTTTAATACAGTCATTGGATTACATGTGGTTTGAACATACCTCGAGCTGTATCACCTCTAGGAAGACTACAGACATGTGTTCTGCATATCTACACTGTGAAATTGGCTCCAGTCTAAACCCTGGTTTCTTGCCTATCTTTTTCTTATATTTTTCGTTTGTTTTATATTAACAAGTGACATGAAAAATAACATGTGTTTTTTCACCCTGAAGAAACTGGGGCACCCTGGAATTTCATTCAATTGCTTTTTTTGGCGTCTTAAGCTGTGTAATGTATACATTTATCGTATTTCATCAATGTGATGTGACATGGCAGATACGAATAAGTTTCTTCAATATTCTTCAAATGCTGGCTTACACGATAAAACCTAGCAGATCCCTGGACTGCGTGTGAATTCTAAACAGTTCTTTATGAGTACGGAGCATTGAACACTTACAGCAGCGGGTCTTCGTGCCTCAGTGTGACCATGCATGTCAATAAATTGCCATGCACTCAGGCAGAATTGCAGAATTGATCACTTGAGCTTGTTGGAAAGAATCCCATTAATTCTAACTTTGACTTTCATGACACTACTTGTTTGTTTGGCCGGGGCTTGGCTATGGTAGAAACAACAACAATATTAGGTAGATGGGTTTCAAAAGCAGTTTTTGGTTTTGCAACAGGATTCTGGGCTGGCAGATTAAACAGACAGGTCTGAAATCCAAGAAACTGCACGCGTCAGACTGGAAGCTTGAGTGTGCTTTATGCTTGGGGGTGCACAAAACACGGTTACTGAAAATGTGTGGGTAGTCTGGGGGGAGGAAGGTGCCACCGAAAGGTTATTTTGTGCAAATTTGTCACTCTGCAAACACCTTCTCTGTTGTGTTTCATTACTTTTTTGCACATGTGATTATTCAGCCCTAGAGAGTCCTGACTCTGGATGTGTTTATATTGCATTCCTAAGACATTTTTGGTTACATCTGGTGGTTGCTTTCTGAGTGTCTATTTGGATTCCCGAGTGGGTTTATCCTAAGCCAAACAAAAGGTGAAGAGCTGCCCTTGGCTCCTTGCTCTGTTTGGGCTGGTCCCGAAGCGGCTTGAAGGTGTTCTTAGTCACAGAGCTGGCTGGGAGTGGAAGCGGGCTGTCATAAAGGCACACATAATTTGGTTCTGGGTGGCGAGCAGTTTCTGCATGAGCTGAAAAAAAAAATAAATAAAAAGAAAAAGCCACACTTTCTTGATATTCTGTCTCCACAGGTATCAACCCAGAGAATTTTTCATCCTGAAGCATGGGTCTACTTACCTCCAAGCACCTGGCAGAAAACTTCATTTTCCTTCTGTTTGTAGTCTCCTCTGCAAGCACAGGTAAGTCTTCCTGTTACAGGGGGGTTAAGGCGTGGTTTGTAACACTGCCTTTAAATAAAGACATTGCTGGTCTAGATTGAGCAACTTTTCACTCTTTGATCCAGATTCTTATAAAAAATCCAAGGACAGGGTGAAAAGCTCAGGAGAAAAACAGTTTTCTGATGTCTCAATATTCCTGCATTTGGCCAGCTGGAGTGGCAAAGAGTGAAATTTCTGAGCAGGTGAAAGTATCCCCAGGGAGCCTTCAGCCCTTGCTACGCAATCTTAAAACAAACCCCAATCCAACAAAGTGCCACAAAGAAATAACAAAGGAAACCTCAAGTCCTAATAGCTGTGTCTGTGGGTGGTGAGCAGTTTGCTGCTTTGTCCAAGTGCAGATGTAGAGACCAAAAAGCTCTGGGGTGACACATCCCTGCCCTTGATTTTGACTGTTATAAGCAGCCCTTATCCTAAGTGGTTTCAGAGAAAAGGGAAGCTGGAAATACATATTCTAAGTGGATTTATTTGGGGATGTTGCCTTTTTTTTAGAACAAAGAGACCGTATGTCTTGCCCCAAATGCTGCATCTGCATGAAGCAACATTTCATTGCCATGTTTGGGGCCTTTTGGTCAAGAATTACACTGTTCAGTTAACTCCTTTGTTGGGTAGAAGTTGCTTTCTTATTCCCCAAAAGCCCATGTGAGAAATAATACAGGCTGGAGGGTGCCTGATGGGCTGGCAGGAGCTGCTCAGCCCTCCGGTGGCCCTGGTGCAGCGGGTGCAGGTGCTGTGCTCTGCTCCTTCTCCCTGGTAGGAACAGGTTACCTTGAACAGCTGGTATTTAATGGGGCCATGGAGATGTCAAGGCCATGGCTGGTCCAATTCTGTAGTTTTCTTAAGGCTTGAAGTAGGTGGAGGAATCAGAGAGGGAACTGAATGCAGACAGACAATTTTGTTTCTATTTCTGTGGAATTGCAGGCGGGCCTCAAGTTTCACAGTGAGAACACACAACAGCCCTCCACCAGCTGCACCAGCACCAGGATAGGTTTCTTTGCATGGGTCCACAGAGCTGTCCTTGCATTAGGATGCCGACTGACAGCACTAGCATCCATGGGGAAAAAAAACAAACAAACAAACAAACCAAAAAACTTTACTAAGTGCAGAACCATAATCCTGCTGAAGTCAGGGGGTTCATCCCACTTCTATTGCCACTGATTTGTGGCTCCCGTAGTTTTGCTATGGTGTTTTTGTTTTAAAGGATACAAACTGGAGAGCTGGTGAGAACTCCCAAGCCCTTGTGATGGCAGAGCTCATTGTTCAAACTTCCACTGACCTTAGCTTCCTAGGATTAGAAAGGTTTCTGCCCTCAGAAAATATGCATCCCCCATGGGACTCCTGCACTTGTGAAGTCGTGTTGATTAGAATAAGATGTGAAACTCACATATCAAGTGAGATTACATCAGGGAAATATTTTATCTTAAGTAAATATTTATGACATGAGACTTGGATTTGGTATGGGAGCAGTTTAGCTAACACGTCACAGCAGCCTGTAATCAAATATGTATGTAGAGATGAGTGATGTGTGTAATCAAAGAGAATGAGTCCTTATCTCTTCTGTCTGAAAAAGCTTATGAAGCCGGAGTCTCTCTCTTGTGGGATTTCTGTTTCTGGATCGATTGGTAATTTTTTGGTGTGTGGTGCTTTTGTGATAATTTGAGCACTATTACTTCCTGTCCCCACGAAAAACACAGTATGCAAACCTATCTCAATATTATTATTATTTTTAACTTTAAACAAAGACTTTCAAACCTCACAAGTATTTTAGGGGCGTTAGGTAGCCTTTTTAAAGGTGTCTCCTGTTTTAAGCTTTTGTCAACCTCTTCCCTGAGCTTGTGAAAGGCTTTTTGTCAGTACAGAGCTGAATGTCATTGCAGCAAGGGCTTTATTCCAGCCTTTTCTCTCAGTGGTTTTCTGGAAACTGCATCCTTCACATGGCTCCTTTGCATCCAGCAGTGGGATTTTCCATGCTTCCAGAAAACAGAAGATCATACAGCTTCAACTGTTGTTTGTTTTCTTTTGGTCATGACCCAGAGGGACACTGCTGCCCTGAGTTATTGCTGTGTTCCAGGGAGGCAGCCAAGGGGGGTACGAGACTGGTGCTTAAAGATGCCCAGATGTGGAGCTCTCTGTCTTGCACCAAACATGTGGCAACTCTTCACTCTCCACTTCTATTCAGCAGAAGCAGCTGTGATATGTCCTGATAAGGATCCTGAGCTACAAAACTGGAACCCAGGTCACAACGAAGAAAACCGCATTGAAATCCGTAACGGCAGGAAGCTTCTTCTCTCTTCTTCTGGAACTGTCCACTCGATCCACATCGCTGATGGAGGTAAAACTTGCTGCCTCCAAGGCGGCAAGGCTGGGCAAAGAGTGCTTTCCCCTTCGGCTATTTAGATCACCGTGTCTCATGCTGGGAGAGGTTCCTGTTGCTTGCCGAGAACTGGGTGGCTGCTGGACAAGCCCAGCTTTAATTTGGTACAAGGGTGGGTGGCAGCTGAGATGCTATCAGTCCTGTAGCCATTATAATTAACCTACTCATCATCTTTTCTGGAGAATTTGCAGAAGTACTTATATGTACTGGTTTTTATTCCACATTTTGCCTCAAAAACATGTTTTACTAAATTATTGTTCTTGTAACATAATGCAATTGTTGTGTTCTCAGGGTCTCAGGACAGGGCAGATATAGATGGGTTTCCCTGTCTCTAAGGATAGAGTCATAGCATTGCTGGTGACTTTTAGCACAGATAGCTTTTATTCATCTTGACTCTGAATTTCCGTCTCGGTTTTGAATGAATCCTCTTCCAAGCAAATCTTAATTGCACTCTTCAAGAGTTGGACTGAGTAAAAAAATTTACTGTCTTTAGGATTTCTATTGAGAATGGGCAGAATTTTTCAAAAAATTAGATGAGAACCCAGCACTGTTTTTTAGCACAATGATGTCACAATCTCTGATGAGTTTCTGTATGTTAAAGCAGATGTCATAACCTTTTCTACTTAGGAAAATTGGTCATTAAGGACGATGTGCAGCCTATCATTTTGCGTACTAGACATATACTCATCGAAAATGGTGGAGAGTTACATATCGGCAGTGAGATGTGCCCTTACCAAGGCAATGTGGTTATCAGCTTGTATGGGCGGTATGTATGCATGATAAAATATTATCTTAGAACTTTCCAATATCTCTCTTCCACAACAGAGAAAAAAATGTTCCTTAAAATTACATTTGCTCAGAAGTATTTATCATGCATGTTTTGTAAAAAGTTTACTGGCTTGTTAGACAATTTAAATGTCCTTTAATAATTGACACGGTTTTGGTTCTGGTTTCAAATCTCCTGGGGGATGTACATTGGGGTATTTAGGAATGCCAGAAAATCAGCTGTAGTCAAGTTGATTCATAGATTTTTCCAGAATAGGCTTAAAGCCTGAAGATTTATTTTATTTTGAAAATTCTCCTCCCTAAGCATCCTTTCGTTCTGCATGAGAGTGAGAAGTAGGTGAGCCAAAGGATAAGACATTTATGTCTTGCAGATTAGTACAGGATCGCTCAGCTTTTCAAGGATGCCAAACTCATTTTTAACAGCCACTAGGGCTTACCAAGTCCTGGTTAGGATCCTAACTTCCTATGGAAATCAGAAACATAACTGTGTTGTGCAGATTGGGCTTCAGGCCTCCTCAGGCCTGAATATAATGAAAATAACACATATAATTTGAGTTCCAGATTGCTCCTGGTCCATAGTTGCTAGTATTATTTCAAATAATTTATTTACTGTAGAGCATGAGTAATTGCCAATTCTTAAGGTCATTGAAAAAAAAAATGCTTTACAAGTCATGATGCTTCTCTCCTTGGGCTATAGCAGAATAGGGCAGAGGTTTCTTGACCGTCAGGTACAAAACCAAAATTGAATCTTTTCCTCCCTTCATGTTGCAGAGCGGATGACGGCAGCCAGCCGAATCCCTACTTTGGGCGGAAGTACATTGGAGTGAGTAAGGGTGGCACTCTCGAGATCCATGGAAAGAAAAAATTGTCCTGGACTTTCTTAAACAAGACTCTTCATCCTGGTGGCATGGAAGAAGGTGGATACTACTTTGAAAGGAGCTGGGGCCATCGGGGTGTCATTGTCCATGTCATTGACCCAAAGACAGGGGAAGTTGTCCATTCAGATAGGTGAGTGACTTTACAGCTGTCGAGATTTGAGGATCTTTGGGAACAAATTGGGACAGCTTCTCAGCAAGCTCAGAAGCGTGTGGTTTAGCATCTAGTTCAAATGGGTGTTACTGTCTCTATATGCAATTCTTTCTAGATTACTGATCTCCAAACCCAAATAGTAAAATAGCAAGTAGTGTTATTGTCTCACTATTGTGTTAGCTGGAGCTTAATCAATTTGCTTTAAAACAAACCTGTAATGTCTCAGACAAATGCTTTTCCGATGCTATAATATTATTGTTGTAAACAATACAAAAAGGTTATTTCTTTATAGCACTTGCTTTTTAGTATGGTGGTGCTTGTTAGAGCTGCAATGATCACTTGAAGTATTTTTTATTTTTTTTTTAAATAATTTTAGGTTTGATACGTACAGAGCAAAGGAGGAAAGCATACGTCTTGCCCAGTATTTGGGCAGAGTTGCAAATGGCATGATCCTGTCAGTTGCTGTGAATGATGAAGGATCTAGAAACTTGGACGATTTGGCCAGGAAAGCAATGACCAAACTGGGCAGCAAGCATTTCCTCCACCTTGGGTTTAGGTATGTGCCAGTCCTGCCAGCTCTCCCAGCACAGAGACTTTATTATGTTCCTCAGATGTCCAAATAATTCCACTCTCTCAAAGGCACAAAGTTCTTTCACATGGAAAAAAAAAAAAAAAAAGAGGGAAACCTTTCAACATGAAGTTTTAGCAGCTAATAGGATAGTTTAAGATGCACTCAGTGTCTATATTGGGTATTTTTATTAGCAGATTGAGGAAAAGCATGCAATTTGTATTAAAAATATATTTTTCCAAGATATTATTTCCTTACAAGTTACTCATTCCTATTTATTTTCATGTCATCCCCCAAAGATTTAAGAAGCATATCCATGTACCTACAATGGATTGAATGGCCTGAATGTTAAGCAGGGTAGGATAATAGGCCTGTAACCCTGGCTAAATACATTATAGACATGCATACAGCTTGCTCATCAGCTTGTCCAGTACATATTTAGAGACTTGTGCAGCATGGAAATTTAGCATGCATTTATTTGTGCTGCAAACTGTAAACCATTCTGTGGCCAATACATTGTCTGTGTTGGCACACACACTGATGAGAATATTTGCTATTTATCCAACAGTAACCATTTTATAATTGTGTGTGATTATCTGAATTTATGTAGGCTTGTTGTTTGTTTAACTGGATGTCTGTCTCTCTGTGGACAATGGTCTGTACAGACACTGAGGGTCACTGCAGAACATGAAGAAAAAAAAATATCTGCTTTGTAGGGAGAAGTGATTTAGAAGAGCAGCCTTTTGGAGCAGACAAGTGTCAGTTGGACAAGATTTGGAGTAGCTGGTGAACAGGTTGTGTAAAATACTACAGGGACTTCTGTGCGCCATGTAGAGCATTTCAAAGAAACAAGGTTGCAAAATAGTCTCCAGACACAGGCTATCTTCATCAGTGCAACACTTCCTCTCAGATACCCAGAACCCATATTAAAGCCCAGGAGCCTGCTGGGTTTCTTTTTAAAGACTAAAATTAGGGAAACAGAAAAAAGATTTTCAAACATTATGCTTTTTTTCCAAGCCTGAAACAGGAAAAAAAAAATAATGATGGTTTTCTCATATGTTTATAAAAGTAAATTGCTCTTGATGTTTTTAGACTTCTGTGGTGTTTTAATGCTAGTTTCTCACTTTGCTGTAAATGCTTATAATGGAAATACCATAGAAATTCATGTGTTAAAGTGTGACTTTCTGCATCGCTACTGTATGTATTCAGAAAGCTAATCCTTGTCATGTTGTTATCTCAAATACCACAATATTTCCCTATATAAATAATAGGGACATTGTGGGTACAATAATGTAGTAGTAGTTGGTCATCATTATCTCCCACCAGAGTATTGGTGTGTGCAAAAATACCCATATCATGGTGTGCTTTTTAAAAAATTGTATTTTTAGGGATGTTCTTAAAGTATAAGTTCAACAGCTTTGAAAAATTGTCCAAATGGCAGCCAGGACCTGCTCACTGCCTGGCACCAGGGGGTTGCTGGCCGGTCCCACCTAACCCCCTGCCAATGGCTGGGGCTGGCCCTGGGCATCACTGAGACAATGATGGTGTAAGCAAGGTTTTGAGATAGGGACATTCTATTTCATGTTTTGGTAGATGCCTTGTGAGTCAGGCTGTTGAGCCATAGGCTGGGTGGTTTTCTCATGGAGGCGTTGGAGGGAGTTACTTGGCCAAACTCCTGCCTATCTCCAGTTGCCCCATATTCAACCAGATTGTGAAGTCGTGCAAATTCCCGTTGCTGCAGAAGAGCCAATGAGCAATGCTAATTTTTCCAAAAAAATTCTGTGCTCCTGGCATCTCTTTCAGTTGCTTATTCTCTTTGAGCCCAGAACATTGGGAATGAAAGGAAAATCTTGCATTCTTCCTCTATTGTTGTCCTTTTGAAAAGTGAATTTGCTCTTTAAGCATGATTTTTTTTATTATTTTTTCAAATAATAAATTAAAGAAAGCCTTTCAGCACTTGATGACACAGTTGTTCTCTTTGGAATCCTACCCAAATATCACTGGTTTGGCTCCGGACTTACTGGTCCCTTCATTTCAAATAGCCAAAACAGATTGCATGTGTTTTTACATGTTAGGGTTGAATGACTTTAGGACTGTTTTATGTGATAAACTGACCGGGATAAACAAGTACTGTAATATATGAAATGGGACCAAACCTTGAGTTACAGAACTAGCTAGCTTCTTATTCTTTAGATTTTTATTTTTATTTTTTGTCACTTGTTTTGAATTTGGTGACAAAAAAAAAAAAAAAAAAGACCTATCTTTCGTGCTGAGTGATAAAGTGTCCTTCCTCCCCCCATACCCTCCTCTCCCTGGATGGAGATCATAGCCCAGCAGTGCCGCTGGCAGTTGGCACATGGACAAGTTTTCCAGCAGGAGCATCTGGCTGGCTGGCAGGCTCCCGAGGCAGTTGTGTGTTGGCAGCTTCCCCCGAGCCTGTCCTGTGCTGAGGACACACTGCTGGGACTGCCGTGCTTCGGGGAGCCACAGTCGCTGAATGGCCGTGAACCTCAGCAAAGCCCAGGGGTGATCTCTGCGTGCTATCTGTCAATGTCTGTCTGTGTTTTCTTCCGAAGTCCCAGGGTGGTTTGTAACTTCACTTAAACCAGGCAGATGGTAAATGGAAGGTGACCTGCAAGACTCAAGGGTGAATCTTGATGCTATTGAAATCACCCAGTGTTTTTACTGATAGAGACATGATTTAATCTCTGGGCTGTTTGCTAAATCCAGGGTAAGGGTGACAGTCTCCCTACAACCCTAAAAGCATATTTGTTATTCTGTTAGTCATGAAGAGCAGATACTGCCAGAATTTCTTCTACTTCAAAGACAAAACTCCCTCCTGACCCCCATTAATTGGGTTCACTTCCAGTGCTGGGAGGTACTTTAGTCTCTGTCTCCATTGCTTACTCGACCATGTGTTCATTTGCCAGTATTGCTGATAGATATTGAGCCTGCTGAACCAATAACAATCAGGCAGTAATGAACTTATTTCTGACACTAGGATCAGATGGGAACAGACAATTCAGACTTATAAACCTTTGTCCTTGTTCAATGTTCAAAATGAGGAAACTAGACACCCAGAGACAATCTAGGTATTTTTTATTGCCCTTTGCCAGCCAGTCTGTCTATTAGAAATTCTCATGGGTCATTCCAAAGACAATTGTGATATACAAGGTTTCAGAATGAGCTAGATTTACTTAAGCAGAACTGGCTTTTTTCATGTTTTTTAGTGCACGCACACACACAAAAGAAAGATTTTCAGACTCCTTAGGGAGTTGCTGGTGTCCTATGTGTCTGTCACACACAAGCCTCTTTGAACACTCATTTAAAAGAGAAACATGCTTGTTGTATGACTGTATTAAGAAGGGATTTGTCTTTGAAATTCCTTATCTTGTAATACATTTACTGAAGAAATACGAAGTCTTAAGATATTTTTAATTTTAACCAAACTGCCTGTCACATCAATCAGACTGTTTTGAGTGAGGTGCCCCTGAGAAATTCAAGAATGTTATGCTGTGAAAAATATGCATCTTGTACATGACATAAATTGATCGCTTCTCATTTTGATTTTCTAGGCACCCATGGAGTTTTATTACTGTTAAAGGAAATCCCTCCTCTTCTGTTGAAGACCACATTGAATACCAAGGTAATTCATGCACAAATTGCTGGCTTGACATTATCTACAGAAGTTACTGGAGTTATGGCTGAGATTAATTTTGTCAATGGTGCTTTCAGTTGACATTGTATTACATGAAAGCTGTAAACAGTTGGTGGTTTGGAATATTTAATTAATGCTGTTTTGATATTTTACTACTTTCCATTAATGCAGTTGAAGCAGCAGAGTGTGGGGTATAACCTGGGTTATCTGAACTGTGAGGTAACAGGCGCGACCCTACCCCAGCGTAAATCCTTGTTACTCTGTTGAGCTCAGACTCTGCATCCTGTTTTGACACAAAGCTATGGAACAAGCCCACTTTGCATCAGCTGAAAATTTGATCAGTGTATCCTGCTTTGGTAGCCTCAAAAACTCCCACAAAACCATTTTGTTGCTAGCTGGAGTCTTCTGAGGCTTGCTGTGGCTTTTCATGACATTTTCAAGAGCAGCTAACAACATGGCTTAGTACAGTACCAAATAAAAATAGCAATATATTATAAATAATTGGGGTTTGTAGTTGCTTTTTTTTTAATGCTCTCTTGAATCTTGAAGATTTTTCCCCCTGATTGTCCAGGCAGTTATGAGTGTCTGAAGCCTCATTCCAAGATCAGTAACTTTCTCTGGAAGCTTTGCAGGGCTAATTCTGGATAATATACCCAAAATACACAGATATACACACAGACAATTGCCTATTCAGTTCTGACATTTATTGAGTTCTGACATTTATTTATTTACCATTTTTTTAAAAAACAGGTCACAAAGGGTCAGCTGTCGCCAAAGTATTCAAACTATTCAAAGCTGAGAATGGAGAACTTTTTAATGTCTCTTCGACTAGTGAGTGGGTTCAAGGTAAGAGGTCTGTTTGCTGTTTAACCCAGTAGTAGAGTTGAAAAATGATGTGAACCATCCTTTTCACTGCAATACTTTAACATTTGGGAAGAGTGGGACTTGCTAGTTGCTATTTATGTTGCTGCTAATGCAAGTAAAGTATGTGCACAGATTCTTTCCCCAGTTGTCTCCAGGACTTGCTGGATAACTAACATCTATTTTCCTCTGCTGCCCTGGGTATGAAATTCCATCTCATATGATCTAAGAGATCACACACAACCTCTTATTTCTTTTGAATGCATAGTCATCATGTCCATGTTTCAAACAACATACAGTAACTGATGGAAACTTGATCTGAAAATCCAAAAAGGCAGCTAAGGAGGACTAGAATCCAAAATCCATAACTATTAATAATGCTCATACTACATACTCCAATTATGTAGCTTTTAATAATTCCTCTCTCCCTTGGCTGGTTGCACTTCCCAGAATCATAGAAGTGGCTGACAGACTGGCAGGAAAAGGCAGGAATCAGATCATCAGTGAAGAAACTTGTGAATTATATCTGAGATCAAATTATGCTTCACACATTAAGCATGACTTTCAAATGACTTTTCGTGTTTGCACTTGTTTCCAGATGTAGAATGGACAGAGTGGTTTGAGAAGCCTGATAAAGCAAGATCTAAGGACATGGAGAAGCTTTCTGACTTCAAAGCTGCTCATCCTGATAAAATCTGTAGGCAACCCATTGATATCCAGGTAGGCTAGCTTACTGCTTGCTTTGAAGAGACGGAGTGAGTCCTCTGTGGGGTGACACTGAAACCCCAAAATATTGTATTTGTCAGTAAATTTTGTTTCTAAACAAAAGACATTGTTTATTTTGTTGCCGTAATGCATAACTGACCAGATCTGGTATACATTCTTGTATCATATTGAGACAAAAGTTTATAGAATTATGCTCCTTTCAGTAAATTCTGGCTTCTGGCATGGAAAGGAGTACAGATGGGGTCATAGACAGCACAGATGCTATCATGAAATATGTGGTTCCCCGGTGGCAGATTACAGGAAAAAAATACGTGAAAATTTCAAAGTTTTTAAATGGTCCTGGAATGGACCCTCCCTAAAAAATTAATCACAGAGTGTAATGAGATGGTAAAACTACCAGCTGCAGTAGGTTGGAAAAAATGTCAGTGAGCTTGCAGCTATTTCTTGGAGTCAGTTGTTTTTTCTCTGTGGAAAGAAATTTGAATTCTGTTTGGGGCTAAACATTATAATTACACCATCTTGCCAGCATGCTGAGGAGAAATCATATACCTTTTCTGCAACTGCTAAAGCCTCTTTAAGCTAAAAAAAAAAAAAAAGCACCAAATTCAAGGCTTTTTTTTTTTTTTTTTTTTGGCAAATGCTAGCAATATACTTTGCCTGTCTACCTGCTACAACAGCTACCACAGAAGCATCGCCTAGCAAAAGACAATAAAATACTTCATATCTGTGGGAGGCTGAGGTTCCTGCATGCTCTGAACCACTGGATTTTCCTTACTCACAAGAATGCAGGCTATTGAAGTAAATGGGAATGCTGACAGTATGAGTGAAAGTTTCCAGGCTAGATGTTATAAAGAATCTCCTCTGCACAGAAAGGAAAAAACTGCCCTACAACTTTCTGCCAGGTCTTAGCAAATCCACATTCATTTCAACTTCCATATACATGTATTAGAAGTGACAACTTAGTTCAGAACAGAGGTCAGATGTTCAGTATGATACGGCTCCTTTTAGCATGTGTATTAAAAAAGAAACAAGAAATACATTCTTCTGCTCCAGAATCAAACCTCTTTTTCCCTGTTCTTTTCAACGCCAGTTACTTTTTATCCCCCCATGTATATTAAAAGTAAAACAACATTTTTTTAGCTTATCCTGCAGATTTTAGAACAAATCCTCAGGTAGTGCAACCTGGTGTTGCTCATTGCCTTCATAAAGTTACGCTGATTTATCCCAGCTGGCCTGCTCCAACTGCACTGCACACAAAAATGTGAAGATACGATGATAATAACAGAAACAGTGCAGCCAGAGGCACATTCCTCCAGATGATGGTGTTGATCCTATACATGGCAGCAGAGTGGCTGCATTAATGAGGAAGGTCTGCATGAGTGAAATAATCAGTGAGAGGCTCTTCATTGAAAAATGGCTTATCTCCTGCTGCCTTGTTAAAATGCACGTTTTATTTGGATTGCCTGATGCAACAAATCACATTTTTGTGAAAAGAGCAAGAGAATTGCAAGCTATAGAGCTGGACTGTGAAATTTACCATGACCCTGAGGGGTGATGTGCCCCAGCAGAAGCACAGGAGAGGCTGCACATCTTACAGCCTCCTCCTCGAGCTGGCCCTGCAGGCTGGTACTTGTATATAAAAAAAAAGGCCACTTCTTCTTCCTTCTAGAGCAAGGGTTTTGGAACTGTTTTGATTTTTGATCAGAGGGCAATTACCACTGATCTATGCAAGGACAAAAATGAGAACAGCCTCCCCCCACTGCATTCTTCTGCAAGGTTCAGGCATAGTCCAGCCACCAGCAATGAGAAGAGGCAGTGCAGTAAGAGCCTTGAAAGCATGGGTTCATTTGGGTACAAGCATCTGTGTTCAGTGTTGTCATCTGACCTCAAACGAATGGCCAGAGCAAATCTAGGGCACCAAGACCAGATGTGAGTGAAGCTCAGAGTACTCCTCCCAAAAAAAGCACATGGTCTTAATATAGATATAAGAGAAACATACACCTAGCAATAATCTCTGCCGTCTGCACATAAAATAGCTGTGCTGGAGCACCAGCTGGGATGCCGGCTGGATAGCACATGCAACAGTCATCCTGTTTTGTTATATAACTCTTGTGCATCACCCAAAAGAAAGCAAAAGCCTCTTATGATGGCACTGATACGCCAGTAAATTCCCTTTAACTCGGTGTATCACTAATTTTACATTTCTATTCTCATTCCAGGCCATGACACTTGATGGAGCTAATTTAACAACCGAGGTTTTCTACAAGAGTGGCCACGACTATCGGTTTCTGTGCCACGGCAAGGACCAGACAGGTGAAGGTTGCCGGAACTACAGAGTACGGTTCCTGTGTGGCAGCTCTGGTACGTGCCCCATGTCTGAAAGCCAGATTTCTTGTGCCCTTTGGAGGAGCAGAGAGAGAAAATCCATCTGAGGAACCTGAATTTTGTGTAGTATTTTTGCCTCTGATATCTAAAACCCTAGGGTCTTCCCCATTGAGCACTCCACTTGAGGTAGACAGTATAGGTATTATCCACAACAGAGAACGGCAGAAACACTGCCTTCTGATGACTGACTCTTGTTCAGTGTAAGAACTAGAGTAAGTTCCCAAGCTAAAATTTTGGCTGGGCTGTTGACATGAAACAGATATAACAGCTGAAGATTTATCTCAGGAAAAATTCCTGAGCCCTAACAGAGGTAGCAGGGTGGTGTCTCAAAAACCCAGCAGTGCCATGGCAAATACTTGGCAAGTGCCTTCCCCTAAATACCTTGACTTTTGCTAAAACATTTTAGGATGACGTAGGATTGGTCAATCAGCATGTGAAAAGACAACAGGTTTTGAAAGTAATACTTTGTTTTGAAGTTATTAATTCCAACACCACTGTCCATAACCTAGCCATGAGACAGGTCATAAGGATACTTCAGTGCTCAGCTGGCGGGAAAAGGAGGTTCAGGCCGACAGTTATTTTGCTTGAAAACACAGTCATTATGTTAAAGACCACTTGGCAGCTGTAAATAACCATGCCCAGTGCCCACAGGAGCTACTGCTAAGTGGGTGTGGTGAAAATGAGCCACTCAGAGCTACTTTTAAATTTAGCCATGGGGTTAGTGGAAAATCCACCTGCCTACAACTAACAGAAAACACTTTCTTGTTTGTTTGCTTTCCAAGGCAAAGCTAGTAATGAGCATGATTTGAAGAGTTAACTATCTTGGAAATTACCGTTTTTGGGGGTGTTCCAGACTTAAGGAAAAAAAAAAAAAAAGCAGGCAAGCAGGCACTTTCTGATAAGATTAACTGACTTCTCCACCCTTCCCTTTTGGCTTTTCAGTGAAACCAAAGCTTACGGTAACCATTGACACCAATGTGAACAGCACAGTCCTGAATCTGGTGGATGATGTGAGCTCATGGGAGCCGGGAGACAGGATTGTGGTTGCGAGCACTGACTACTCCATGTACCAGGCGGAGGAGTTTCAAGTGCTGCCATGCCCATCCTGCAGACCCACCCAGGTCAAGGTAGAAGGTAAGGTGCTGCATCTTGTCACGTTGGTGTTGCATCACATAAATTCTGTCATTTGCACTGAGGGAACTCCATTAACAATCACCAAGATTTGAAAGAAACATGAATTTGATGGCTAGTTTAGATGATGCTTTTGGGAAACATATGCCTTTCTTGCTTGAAAGTTTTAATCTAATTTACTTCTGGTTGCTTTCTGCCTTCCCCTTTCATAGCTGATTCCATTGTTTGTCCCCAAGCATATTGCTGAACAGAGGTATTCATTTCAGGGATAGAAATACAGGCCATGTATCTGAAATGTTCAGTTTTGCATTTCTGCATTTGAAAACGTATCAGTTCCTGGAAAGCAGGAAATGAGCACGGCTGATCCAAGCAGCGTGCTAGGGGAGGAGCAGACTGTGAGAGACTGTAGGGCTATGAAGTAATGGATCAGCTGGGTATTTTCCTAAGAAAGTTGTATTTAACATGAAATTTAATCTCAGATTTTAGAGAGACTGTTTGGTACCACTGAAGCTACTGTTTCTCTTTTACTGCATCTCTAGACTACATTGCTATGAGGTGATGTATTAGCCAAACTTTTCTGGAGCCATGTGGCCAGTGTATTTTGCTGTGCCAGAGCACGTGGGGAAAGGGAGTCTGCAGAGTGCTGACCAAATTGCTCTGAGCAGAAGGAGCAGGAAGCTTTGCAGAGTCACAGCATTTTCCTCTTGAAGGTGACTAGCTCAAATCTGGAACAAATTGCTTTTGATGAAAAGACATCGCAGGCTAATGATTGTAAAGTCACCTTCAGACACATTTCCATGCTGAAGCACAGACTCTTACTGGTATGAGCATGAAAGTGAAATCCAGAGGGGAAGATTTGCATCTCCGCTTGAGTCTGTGAAGTGGGCTTTTTCTTCCAGAATTAGATTTTGGCAGGCTAATGAGCAGAACATGGAAATATCACAAGAACTGCATCTTTTCTGGATAGGCAAATGATTTTTAATTGTCATGCTTTATAAAAGCAAAAGTAATTTACACTATACAAGTATGTAACAGACGAAGCCATTTTTAATGGCTGTATTTGTCTGGTGGTAAAATATGCATGTTACAGTATCTTTTTCTTACATGCTGGCAGTTGCTCTGTGTAGAGGTTTTGTCAGCATTTACAGTAAGATCTTTCTGAGAAACCGTCAGGGCACTTGGAACATCCAATGCACCAGGGAGTTTGGTTGGTTCTGTGAAATGAGCTACTTCCCCATTATCTCTGATGCAACATCTTCTGGAAGGTACAAATGCACTTCCTTTGGCAGCTGCCTCCCCACAGACCTCCAGCCATTCATTGTTGCACGGTCTGAAGGAGAGGTGCTTGTCAGGCCAAGAAAAATGTTATTCACGGTTTGAATGTATCATAGTCTTATGACTTAAAATGTCTAGTACTTTTAGAGAAGACACATCTCCAAGTTGGATATTTTTCTTGAGCAACTTTTTGAGCTATTGGAAAAATTGTACCAGACTGGTATGATACAAATTACATCATGAAGATGATCTTGGAAGATCGTCAGTAAAAATAAAGATGACATATGAATATATCTCTTAAGCTTCCCATAATGTAATGGATCTGAGAAAATCAAGTAATTATATTCATCTACAACAGTGGCAACTCAGTTAGCTTAAGGAAATTAATAAGGGGTTAAAAACTACAAAAAAAGTTCATGCAATTTTCAAGTAAAAAAGCAGTGGAAACACTTGTTAAAGTAATTGTGCTCTTGGTCTCCAATTACTCTTTAGGAGAATTAGGACATTCCTTTTATTACCACAAATGACATGAGCACCGGGGCCAAAGTCTGCCTTTACTTATATCCAGGCAACTCCATTGACGTCAATGGGATCTTACTGATTATATAAATCAGGGCAAAATCTGATCCAGTAGTAAAAATTACATCCAACTTTCTTGTAACAAAAGCACATTCACACCAGCAAATAAAATCATCTGCCTGGTTCTAAGCTCAGTCCTGATGAAATGAAACCAGGGGAAGGCTGAGCTCTACCCTGAGCTGCTCCATGCCCAACCATCGCCTAACATCACCCATTGCCCCGTGCCATGACACGCAATTAGCCAGGATTAGGAGCACTAATGAGCCAGGAGGGATGGGTGTCTCCATGCCACCACCCCTCCACCCTGCCTGCGTCTGCCTGCAGCCTGTACAACCCTGCCCACGGGGGTGTGGGATTTTGGCTGTGCCCTGGCACTGGGATTTGAGGTGCACCCACTGCTCAAGGAGGCAAATGCCAGCACGACGAGTGCTTGGCTGGCACTGCAACCAGGCTGTGCACGTGCATGCCTGCAGCTGCTGCTGCTTGGTTGGGTGCTGGCTTTGATGAAACTTGTTGACCCAGAGGCTCAGACAATGTGTGAAGGGAAAATGATGTAGGCAAGCAGGCACATAAAGTAGCTGGCAGGCAGGGGGAGCAGCCCACAGCCTCAGCCCAGGTGAGCATCCACCCCGGCACAGCCTGTGCTTGTGCAGCCGTGTTGGGTTCTCAGCCAAACGCGGGAGGTACCCGTCATAAACGTCTGCCTTCCTTTCCCGATGTGAAGTATTCAGGGTTGCTCTGCTCAGTCTGAGAAAAGGCTTCTGCACAGATATATTTATACATGTGGTCTCGGGGGATGTCATTTGTAATAAGTGGAGTGGCTTGATTTGTCTAAGAGACTTAGTTTAGCAGCCGAGAACTCCAAAATACTGTCCTTTGAAAGACAAATGATAAAACTGCTCCTTTCCATGATGTTTTTTATTCATTTTAATCTCATTTTTTTTCCTTTCCATTTCTTTTAAATAAACCTAAATGTCAGTTCTGAACTACTTAAGAGCCCCTTTGTTTAAAAAAGGCAGAAAACTTATCTGTGGAAAGACAATTTGGTGTGGCAGCCACTTGGCATACCAAGGTTTAATTATAATTGATGCTGTCATCATTTAATAATATTTTAATAGACACGGTTTAGTGTATTATGCCAAATAAGTAAAACTTATTATTTAGCTCATGTCCTATTTATATTTGATACTTCCTGCTGAAAACTCATACTTGCTTTTCTTGCTAGAAATGGCCTGATTAGAGGCTGGTCTTTTCAAAACAGCTTACGAGAGTTAATACTCAATTCCCATCAGGATTTTTTTTAGTAGGATTTGGATGTCTAACTGTGGAAGTCTAAAAATCTCAGCGTAGGAAGCAAGGGAGGACACCCAGGAACTGATCTTGTGCACTCCTTTATTGGAGTAATTGTGTTAATGCCAAAAATGCCACAAGGGAGTGTGGCTTGGGTAAGGACTCAGCTCTGCAGGTCCCATTCCGCTCCTGGTCAATCGATCACTCAGTTAAATGGAACTTTTTTCTCCTTTGTTTGATTTTTTTTTTTTTTTGCTTGTCATTTCTGTGCCTAGATTATTTTCTCTGTGGGAACAGATTAAAACTGTTTGATCTTGCAACTTCACAAGGGCAGGGATGACGGCACAGGGCAGAGGGAGTGAGGAGGAAGGAAGGAAGGAAGGAAGGGTTGTGTTGTCGTGGCAGAACTGGATAGTAGGAAAGATCAAGCGTTTGGTCTAGTTTCCCTGGGAAACAAGTCTTATCTGCATCTTGGTTGCTCTGTATGAAGTTACTACCAATGCTGATAAGTTTCACCATGGAATAGAAATGCCCTTTTGTGTGTCTATATGCTCTTGATAAAACAAGAAAAAACTTTTTGTGCTTGGCATAATTGCTCCAATTATCCCACATACTAGTGAATCTATGATTACAAGCCCACATATCTTAAATCTAGCTTATTGGGCTGGGAATACTGTAGAGAGAAGGTGTTCACAGGGATCTTGTTAATGCAGAGAACTTTGAAATAAAAATGTAAATACATAGTCATCTAACAGCTTCACTGAAACTGCCTTTGTCAGCATTTATCTTGTGCTGTAAGGGTGGGAGAAGTTACTCCACTACCAAAATTAAGATACTTTTAAAGATTTAGAAGATTCTGCCTAGAAGTTGGCATCATTTTGGCTGGAACTTGCCAAAACTCTTATTTAAGGCATCTTTGGTTCTTGAGGGTTGGGCAGGAAGTGTTGTTTAACAGCCCTTTCTAGCAGCTTTTCAGAGCTCCTTCTTCTGCCTTTGGGCATTGCCTAGAAGCAGTGTTAAAAACTCTCAAGTTTAAATAACAGCTCAGAAGGGTTGTATTCAGGCCTGATTTAAGTAAGGATTTGCTCTGTTTGTCTGTCAGAACTCTGTAAGCTTCTCATGCCACCTGCTAGAACTTATTGGTGAGGATGAGAGAAAAAATAGAAGGTCAGAGAGAAAATCCAGCATTTACAGAAATAAGTCAGTAGTTTTCCAAGTGGTTGCTGCAGAAAGAGGCCATGAGGTGGGGCAGTAGTGGGCCTAGGGGTGAGCGTGATGCTGTCATTGGGATAAAACAGAGAGACCTGTGCACATCAGGCCCTGTGTCGCACCTACCTGCATTTTTAAGCTCTGCTCATTTCAGCCAATAAACCAAACGGCTACTGGCAGAAGGTTCTGGTCCAGTGTAGCGTTATAGCATATGCTTACTATTATCCATGTGAACTCATGGCTACGTACACCCCTACCGCTGAGGGTGTGCTTCTGAGCTTTGCAGTGCACCCTGGGGGACCACAAAGGAGAAGAAGAACAAAGGACCATAAATAGGATGAGTTAACTAACCCAGCAGGAATATGTCCCAAGAAGGCTTAAGTTTGCTCTGATCTCCTTATAAAGTTTCATCCTTTCTGCTATAAGGCTTTTCACTGGAAAACTGATTTCCCATGAATATGTCTTCATTAAGACGTCAGGCTGTAGTGCCTGACTCAAGAGGCTGGTCAGCTCTCCCAAACCATGCTCCGTTGTGTTACAGGCTTGTGGCTTAGGGATGCAATAGCAAATCCCATCGAGCTAATTCAGAACAATGAGGGTTTGACAGGATGCCTGTGTGAACATTTGTTGGTTATTAAATATAAGCAACAGGGGCATTACCACCAATGATGACAAATGGTTTTTAAAAATGCTAAATCTGACAGAGGTCTGGGCTGGCATCTACAATGAGTTGTGCTGGTTTTAAAAGGGCCCTGAAGGATCTACTGTCACTGGGTTACTAGAGTTGAACAGACAGGTTTGTATTTAACATTTCTTTTAAAAACTCTGGTTTAAGGTACACTAAAAGACCATGAGAGAGAAGGTCTAATCCACAGAGTGCAGAGGAGAACAAAAGACCCATTAGAGAAAAAAATAGAATAAAAAAATAACCCAGAAGCATCTTAGCTCCACTTTACTTCCACCAAACCCAGACCTTCTCGTGTCTGATTCAATTCTGAAAGGGCGATGTAGTAGTTTATGGCACTGAGAGCCAACGCAATTAGGAATGCATGAGTGTACCTGGGAGGGTTGTCAGAGATATATCTGTGTGTATCTTGCCAGAGCTGAGCACTCATCCACACCTGTAGCTGCTGAAATAGTTTTACAGTCCCACCCTTCTCAGGTATGATAAGCCTGAGACCCAGGTTTTATGGTTAGGTTCAAGTAGGGCAGGTTTTCCAGGAGCTTTGTACAGTTTGGAGACACTCTACTTTGAATTGCTGTGTTGACATAAGTGTGTATTTGATTAGTAGATCATCTATGTTTATCTTAATGCATACTTTCTTTTAATAATTACCTTCTCCTTACTAACTGCTCTGGTAACTTTAATAGTCACTGTCTTGAGTCATGAGCATGGAAACGGGCTCGTATTTTGCTGAATCAAGACCTCTGTCAGGCAAGCCTGCACATTAAAGGAGATTGATTTTCCCTGCGAATTAACATTGTTACTGAAGGCACCAGTATGACAAATAGAGCAGCAAACCAAGGGCAGTCTTCTGAGCCCGTCACATGGGCCTGTTGTGGAGAGATGCAATCTGTGCAGCCACAAGGCTTTGTTTGGTTTAGATTACAGCACAACACAAGTCTGGCTCACCAGCGAGGCAACATCTCCCCGTGAGGGATGCAGCAAGAGCGAGCCCAAAGAGGGAGATGGTGAATCAGTGACCCCAAGTTCGTTAACGCTTGGGCAATCCCAGGCATCATCTCTGATGCTGAGGTAGCAGACGCATTCTTCCCACGTTCAAAGCACAGTGTTGCCTTTTTTCCTATCAAACCACTTCAGGGCTGGTCTGCACACCCCAGGCTTGGGTTTGCCCATGGTCAGCATCTCAGGAGCTCGGACATCACGGCTGCTCCCTGGGAAGATTTTCAGCTCTGCAGTGAGGCGCTCCCATCCCCAGGTGAACTCCCCAAGCTCAGCGTGGAGCAGCTTCTTTTGTTTTATTTCTTCCTCATGCCACTCACGGCCGTGCCCTGCCAGCTCGCTGGAGGTGCCACGTGTCCATGGACGCACATAGTGGAGCTCCCAGCCCCGTGGGAAGTGCCCGGTGCCAGTTTGCAGCAGGAATTTGCAGCACCTGAGCACTCCCGTGCTGGGTCTGTCTCCTGTGAGCCGTTTTGGCAGGACGGCCCCACTGCCACAGGGAGCTTGAATTTCTGGCTGCTGCAAGGAGAGGATTGTTTTTCAAAACTCTGTTAAAGGAGTTATTATTCAAAATCCACTTTTATGTTAGAAGTGCTTTCCATCTCTTCTTTTATCTCCAAGCAAGCCAAGTCAGCAAAAGCACAGAGTGAAAAACATGTACCCAAGGAGTTATATTTAGAAACTGGTTAGTGCGTATTTAAAATTCCTGTCAGTGCTTACACTATTTTGCATGTCTGGACTGGTGTTAAATTAAATTAAATACATGCAAGCATGACATTTATTATTCTAGAGCTCAGCACATTAAATAACAAAACTGCCTATCTAATTTCACTGCCACAAATCCTGGAGATGTGGCTTGAAATAGGATGTTCTTATGATTATCTGAACTTCTTCCTGCATCTCAGTAAATCAAGGAAAGGTCAACTCTGGGGGAAACTGAAAAATAACAGCTTAAAAACAGCTTCATAACAAGTGGCTGTGCTTCTTAATGGAGCTGCTCTAGGGTCCAGCACATGGTATCTTCATGCAGAGGACAGCCACTGGCATAATTTTTTTTTAGTAGATGTGAATAAGGGAGGTGAAGCTGTATTTTGGGTAAGCTGGGTCTGATTTTGGCCACACAACTGAAGAGGCTTGCTGGCTTCAGGGCAACACTGCAGGGAAGCCCAGGACCTTTCTAAGAAGGTGACTGCAAACGCAAGTGAGGTGCAAACCCACAGCCTCTTACTCTTATTTTTGGGGCTGAGCATAGAGCTGGATGGAGCATCCTCTCCCCACCACTGCCCCCACAAGCTGCCTCCACCCATGGCAGATTCTTTCACCCAGGTGGGAGAAGAGGGGTCAGACTGATGCAGATTATATGAGGAAAACATAAAAGATGAAGTGAGTCTTTCTCCTCCCTAACTAAGATACTGCCAAACAATTAATCCCACGACATGCTCTTGTAGCCTTCCTGCCCCCTGTGTGATACTCTTGCTTTACCAGGAGCTGAATGGATAAATGGGTAAAAGCGTTCACCAGTCCTGCTGCCACCACCACTCCAGTTAACAAAGGGTGTCTTTTACCACTGTCATGTTATTTTGAAGGTGGGGAGCTGAGGCAGAGGCTCACGTAGGGGGTGAGCCCTGTCCTGCAGAGTGCCAATCTCAGGAGAAAGAGGAGCACTCACCCTTCCCAAATCCCACTGTTACCATCCAACTATGCTGCTCCCAGCTCCAGGAGAAAGGGGGAGTTAATGGTGTTTGCTGATCTTTGTTATAGAGTCAAAGCAGCGTGTTTTGGTTAAAACAAGAATGTTTCAGTGTTCAAAATCCTCCCTGCAACTTGGCACCTCTGCTCCAGCACAAAGTGCTTCACAGGGATAGCCAGGCTTCAGGCTTGCCATTTGTTTCTAATTATTGCTTTGAACGATTCCACTGAAATTAAATACATGCAAGTGTAGCATTCCTTAAGGTTCGGTGTTTACTTAAAGAGTTTATTACTTATTTTTACTGGAATAATACAGAATGTAGTCCGTAAGATGAACCTTTTCCCAACTGCATTCTCTGCAGAAAGCCGAGGAAGGAAGGAAGGAAGGAGCATGAATACGTTTGAATGAAATTACAGCAAAGAGATTATTTTGCTTTCTAGACATCCACACTGCCCGGACTTCACCCCTTTCTGGTCAGGCCAGGGAAGGCTCTCTGTGGTTTTAACCCCTCCACTGGAGCCAGGTGTGTGTGCGGAGGCCAGCCATGAGCTGGGTGAGGGGTTGCAGTGGTCCCAGGCCACAATTTTCACAAGGCTTTCTGCCCAGCCCTTAATGCTCTGCAGCCGTGGTGTTAGCAAGGTCAGGCTGATGCTCACCCGTTAGCAGTGCTGCAGGCTCTGAGCAGCTGCCAACATCTCACTATAGAAAGTGCTATGGTAATTTTGGGGCTTTTCTGTAGCTGCATCATCAATTTTCTTTGCACTGAATGTTCATACACTGCTGATTGCAAACCTAAGTAAAAATCTCTTGAATGATCACCGTCCCTTTTCAAGGTAGGAAATGTGTTTTGCCTGACGGGCTGTTGGTTTAACTCCCTGTCTAAATGAAGCAACTTCAGACCAAAAAAATCCCACTTCCTCTGTTGAAAATATCTCAGCAGGACATGGTGTGACACCTGTGCTCCAGCCTTCTGCCTTTTGAGGAGTCAGCCAGCAGTTTTCTGCTGATTCAAGTACTCTTTTCATTATCAACCAACCCCGCCACGGGAAGTGCTGCAAACCAGCAGCGTTGGCAGGGTAACTCTGAAACTGGATCTTGTTCCCCCAGGGAAAGCAGCATACCTCCACGTTGGCCAAGTCATCGACGGTGTCGACATGCGGGCAGAAGTGGGGCTGCTGAGCCGCAACGTCGTGGTGATGGGCGAGATGGAGGGGCGCTGCTATGAGTACGGCAGCAAGCTGTGCTCCTTCTTTGATTTCGACACCTTTGGAGGACACATCAAGGTAGGGCTGCTGCCCTCTCCTTGTACTTTTCTCTGCCACACCTTGACATACTGAGAAAGCCAGGATGCGGGAAGGGAAGTGAGCATTCCCTCCCTGGGTGCAGCAGCTCCTCCCCACTGCTGCTGCCTGGTATCTGACTTTGAAGTGTACCTCACGCCCCTGCAGACTTTGCTCAGCCACAGGGGCTGGTGCTCAACCCCTCCGAGAGACAGCCTCCACATCCCCATCCCAGTTCTCCCCGAATTCTGGTGGTGCGCAGCCCAGGGGGGTCAGTTTGAGCCCAGGTGAAAGAAACTCATGAAAAACATAAAATTTGAATGTTTTTTTCTTCCAAAATGAAGTCAGATGTAGCCATGGCAGCAGTGGTGGGACCACAAAGCCGCTATGGTTCCCTTGGCTATCATAAGCCTCTCTCTCTCACCCTGCAGCTGTACTCCCCTTGCACAAAGTAATTCTCTCTAGAAGATACCACCCACACATTCCTATGCTGTTTTCGCCCTCCTCCTTGCCCTCATCCTTCCTGACTGATGTTCTTTTGTTCTTCAGATTGGTCTTGATTTTAAGGCTACCCATATCGAAGGCCTAGAATTGAAATACATGGGACAGCAGACAATGGGACATTACCCAATTCATTTCCATATGGCTGGAGATGTGGATGAAAAAGGAGGCTACAACCCTCCAACGTACGTGAAGGATGTCTCCATCCACCACACCTTCTCCCGCTGTGTTACTATCCATGGATCCAATGGCTTACTGGTAAGAAACCCCAATGTCTACCTTACCGATCAAGACACCAAATTATTTCCTTGTAGTGTGAATGCAGCTTAATTTCAGGGTCATTTTCTTTATTCTTAGAAGTAGTGTGTCTCCTTCTCTTGTCCTGATTATGTAGATGTATGTTCCAGGAGTATTTCAACACGTGTTAAGGAGGAGACCACAGTGGCACTGTAGGCTGTGTGTGATTCAGAGCTTCAGAGCAGGCAGAGCTAATGAGTGGTTGGGTCTATGTATAGGCAGAGAGCTTGCTATTTAAAGAGGATAATCAGAAGGTTTAAATGTGCTTCATCTTTCCTGTAATAAAGATTTGTGTTTGCAGTGCCATTCACTACATTAAGCATTCCCAAAGTTCTGATTTGTCAGAGCTGCTCTCCAGGCAGGAAATCCTTTAGGATAAATCTGTATAATGACATATGCTTATCAGACAAGTTACAGCACACCAGAGATGATGAGAGCACATTCAGATTCTGCCTAGATGTAGGCATGTTTTCTTCTTTATGTAAGCATGCAGAGGTTAAAACGCAACCTTACTGAGCATCCTGGAGACTGGCACATAACCCCAGAAGGCTTTCCTCACTGCTATCCCACATCTGGTGGCTTCCTTAGAAAACACACTTGCTCCTTTGGCACTTCTGAGATAGGAATGGGTTGTGTTGGTCATGTGCTTTGTTGCCCTTGTCAGCTTCCTGCCATTTTAAGGCAGTATCTTCCAAGCCAACCACACTATTTATAACAGATAGGGTCTCCTACCCAGCACCCACCTGGTTGCAGTAAAGAAACCAAGACCTAAAAAGTACAGTACGAATGCTATTACTGAAGCTTTATATCCAGTCAACTCCATTCACAAAAATGAACAGGAGAAAAGAGAGACCTTTACCTGCATTCAGAAAATATGAAAGAATCTATCCCAAAAGCAGAGCTGCAAAAGTTGTGGAATAATTATCAGGTTTGACTAGCCAACTTTTTCCCAAGTATCTGTTCAAATACAAAGTCTTGAAATTCCAAGATTTCTGTAGGTCCATTCAGGGAGATGGCAGGGTATTCCTAAAGGATGAAAAAAATGTGTGTGAGAGCCCTGGAGTATTTGTATAGTCAAGAGCCTTGCTACCATATATAACAGAGATTTTAGGGAAGATGTGTCACCAGCAGACCATCACCTAGATGGCATTAGGAGCTCACATTCATGTTGTTTTTTAACTGTTTTAAAGCCACCATACCTTCTCACAGTAGGAGTCTACAAGAGACCACACTCAGACTTACTTGGGAGATATCATTCATTTCCAATGCCTGGTGAAGACATGGTTGTAATCTTTTGTTTACTGATGAGTGCTTCCTCCTTTGCTGACACTAGCGCATGATGGGCTTGGTCTTACAGTCTCCTTTAGGCACGGACTGCAGGCTACAGCCTCTAAAAGCGGCAGCAATAAAAAGGGACATCACAGGCATAATTAAAATGCACAGAAGTTAAAGAAAGGGCATTGAAATTGCAGCTCCAGAAGCAGAGCATCTTTTATCTGCTATTTACGAATATGAGGTTTTGCTTCTGACCTCTGTCCTTCTAAGTTTATAATGTGAAACCTGACGAGTAAACTTGGCTTCTGGAAAAAAAAAAAAAAAAAAAAGAAGAAAAAAAAAAAAGCATTCTGCTATTTAAATTCTATAAGGCATTCAGGGTCATACAGGATCTTGCCAACTCACAACTGCCAACATGGGGGCTCAGCACGCAATTCATGTGCAGGGTGGAAGGGCAGTGCTGCAGGGCTCGTTTTTCACACGATCCCAAGGCTCTTACCAATGGCACCATGAACACACTGGCTACTCAGAGGTTGCACAGCTGTGGGTGAGCTGCAGGCCAGCTAAAGCCCTGCTTCTCAATGTGACGTGAGATCTTCGTTCTCTACTGATTAGTACTTGCCAACCCAAATACCCAGCGCCTGGCATTTTTCGTATGGGTCAGACAGATGGATTTGTATAGGGCATTTGGAAATATTTCTGTCTCTTGTGCTTTCTCTGAGTGACAACTGTCCCTTGGAGAATCCATGGCAGAGGGATCTGTGTGCTCAGGCTTTTCCAGACAAGATGACATGATGAAATTCAGACAGGCTGATGAAGCTGATGAAAGCAGCTTGTTTCTCTCGCCGTTACTCAACAGCCACCATTCCCTAGATGACTGTGGTTTGCCTTCATAAGGCACCCAAGAAAAATCTTAGAGTTTAGGACATAAAACCTAAACTGTTGGTCAAGAATTTATCTCTGCAGATTATAATTTATTGAAATGTGTGAACACTAATACTAATAATGCGTTAATACTTAACGCACATGACACTTTACCTATTTTTTATTTTAACCATACAATTACTGCCAATGGATAAATTGAAAGCCCCAATGAAACAAAGCAATCTAACTGTGTTTGTTCAGTTGCATCACAGAAGAAGTGCTCCAAAGGTTGAATCACCTAAATGGTGTCTCATTGCTCTGATAGACATCTGCATTCAGCAGCTCCAAGCCTTGATTCTTCACGTGATTCCACCGCAATCTCCTCATCTGTTTTCCGACTCTATTTTCCTTCCTTTCCTCTTCCTTCTACCCCAGATAAATTCACAGACACCCACACAGGTCTCTGGTGACTACTAGGGTTATTCCGTACATTTCCTTGCTGCCTATTATCTTCTTACTTGGGCAACGCTACATGTTTCTACATGCACAAGCACCATTTGTGCAGACAGCAATGAGCTCCTTCTTCCCTCAGGTAACAGTCATTCCCTCTGAGGTCAGGTAGACCCAAAGCATACTTTTCTGAGGGAAAATTTATATTGATGGTGTGCATGAACTGTACTTTGGAAACATGCAAAAAACATCTAGCTGGACTGTTAAACCTCAGCACAGTATATAGCATTTAAGGATGTACTTAACTTTAGGCCACTGATTTCCAAGAGGCTTCTCACAAGACTGTAGTTAAGTACCTGTGTAAATGCCTTGAAGAGTGTCTATTTATTCCCGATGGCAGGACTGTTTTGTCTGTGCACTGTGCTGCTAAAGTCCCTGTCCCGACAGGAGTTCACTCGCATCAGTGGGCTATTCTGCACTTGTCTGCAAATTCATAGTCACAGGAAGGGAAAGAGGGTCCTTCTGGAAACAAATCTGTAGAAATTCTCTTCTCACCATAACTAGTGTTTGAAATTGCCAATACTTACCCAATGTTTTCTTTAACACATTGGCCATAAAACCACCCAGTTACACCACTGCAATCCTGGGGATGAAACTTTGCTCTGATTCCCACTCTCTCCACTGGATCCCAGTGAGCAAGCTAAAATAGAAACAGCCATCAGGGCAGGAAATTAAATGGAGGCCAATAAACACTATGACAGGAGCCAGGGGAGAGCTGTACTTCATGGAATAAGTGGCTGTGCTAACTACTTCAGTGGTATCTGCTTTTAGTAATCCAGCTATACTGCACAGTTTTGCCATGGAGGGCATTATCTGGCCATAAATTACTCATGGTTAAGGTAAGATTATGGACTATTAAGAAAGCTTAAATCAAATCAAAAATTAAATCCATTGGAAAAATGCTTTTGGAACAAGCAGCTCTTTTGCTATCCAAACATTTCAGCACTGGGCTTGTGTATGAAAACACACACAGGAAACTAAGTCAGAGCTGACCGAGAGATGAGATATGGGAAAAATAATTAATCAAATGAAGGGTGACAAGTGCATTAGGGAACAGGTCCCTGGATGATAACTGTGTTGTTCTGTGGCCTTTCAGGGATGAGTTAGGACAACACCAGGCTTGCTGGCTCTCCCCCTGCCAGTGCACATTCCTTTCTCTGCCTCACTCCTCTCTGGACGTCCTGGGGGAGGTGTTGTTCTGCGATGTTTCTTCCCATACACGGAGGTGGGCTTTGCCCCAGCTCTAGTCTGGTCTCCTCAGGTTTTCATACCCCAGTCCTGGTGGAGCAGTGTGCCGGCTGGCAAGATAAATAGCCACACCACGTGGCTAGTGTTTCTTTAAGGAAACCATTTCCATCATCTAGATGTTGCAGCAGCATTTCTTATGTGTCTTTCCAATGGTACTGCTGTGTGAAAGAAAACTAATTGGCTTCGGTGGCCGTGTGCAGTTCTGACATCTCTGTGATTGAAAGACTTCCTCTACATGTTGGAAAACTTCTGAAAAGAGATCACTCTCCTGACATACCCTCCTATCCCATAAACCTTTACAATTGCAAGGCTGGGACAGCTCACGTGTCCAGGGAGGGACAGTTCAGTGTAATATATACTTTCTCCGCGTGAAAAAAAAAAAAAAAAAAAAAAGCCACAGTTTTGCAAAAGCTGTCTTCTAATTGAACAGGCAAAGTTAGCCATAAATTTCAGTCAGGTAATTTAATGGAATACACAACTTTGCAGGTCATTTTTGATGTGTTTAATTTACTGTGGTGACTTGTGCTCAGAGATTTGTGTATTTACAGTGGAGCATGGATAATACATAATAGATGTGGGTGCAGATGCAAGCTCATAATATACTTGGCAAGTGGTGTTTTTTCTCATGTGAAAACATATTTGTAATCATTTCAACATAAGTCCTGGGATTTGATTTGAAATCGGTGCTCTTTGCCTTGAGATGAGGCACATAGATGACAGAGGAATCTCAGTCCTGTTTACAAAAGTAATTCTGGTGCTTGGGAGTCTAGGTCTTCCAATGACACCATAAATAGGTTTTGTATCCAGTTTAATATCCTCTTTTGCCCTTTCACCATTGCTGTTTCACCAGAAGCATCTCTAGGAACACACTGGCGTCTAGCTAAGCTTTGCCAGAAAGGTTTTCTAGGTCAAAGGATGGGTGAGGGCTGATGGAACAATTAAGGAGAGACCCAGGAGAGACAGCATTTCACCTGACCTGAAATTCATTTTCCATATCCTAGACATAAGCAATAACAACCTACTTGGTTGGACACAGCGTGTTTGAGGATTGTTTTCTCCCAGCCAGTTCTAGCCTTAGGCTTCAAACTCACATATTTGCATTTATGCTCCTGAAACTGTTTTTTTCAGATCTCCTAGTGGGTTGATGGCTGTTGTTCTGTCCTACACAATGGTGTCCTGATGTTAACATCATTCAAACCAGAAACAGAACGGCACTGATTAACACCAGCTGATTTGTCTCAGGGTCAAGTAAAGCTTCTGTCAACAACTTGGAAAAAAGGATCAGGTCAAACTTAAAACAAGCCAGCTTGTCTGGAAAACAACTTGCCACCTCTCTGATAGCCTGAAAAAACATTTTTTCAGCTCAGCTGCATTTTTCAGATGCATTTTATATAGCTGCTCATGTAACTCCATATGAAGATGAATGAGCCCAGATGTGATCTGAGCATCTAACATCCTTTGCTCATCTCCCCACCCAATGTTTTTTCCGGTCTCATGCTAAGATAGTCTCTGATTTTGCAGACAGACAAAAGAATGGAACTAACATTTCCTAGGTGATGACAAATTCTAGTTAAATTTAAATGTTGGAGTTATTGTTTATGCTATCAGCTCTTAATAGCAGGAAGTGGTCCTGCTTTTGCTTTTGCATCTACACTTTGAGTTCAAGAGGGTACCGGGGTGCTATTACTGTAAAGTCTCTTCTTGTTATGTAATGGTTGAAGGATGAAGCCTAAACACAGACCTTTGTTTTCTTTATTCAGGTGAAGGATGTTGTGGGTTATGATGCACTGGGCCATTGTTTCTTTACGGAAGATGGACCAGAAGAGCGCAACACGTTTGATCACTGCCTTGGACTGCTTGTTAAACCTAGCACACTGCTCCCCTCTGACCGGGACAGCAGGATGTGCAAGCTGATCACAGAGGGAGCTTACCCAGGCTACATCCCCAAACCCAGGCAGGACTGTAGGTGAGTGGGAGCCTCCTTTTCTTCTGTCTGTTCTTTGCAGAACTGAGCCATAAAAGATAGCATTATGTGCATACGATTACGTAGTCCTCTTTTCAGATCTGGGCTTCATGCCCCAAGGTCTGGGAGAGCAGTCTCCATGGTTCAACCAGAAGCTGCTGAGTTTAGAATGGGCTGGGCTCTGACATTTGTGCTCATATTGTATGATAGCTGATTTTGAAAATACTCCCATTAGCTCTAAAGCCATTATCTGCAGAGCACAGATATTGTTTAATGATACAGCATTAGTATTATGCATTCATTTGGCAGTTTACCCAAACTGTGAAGTGAAACTAAAATGGTATGATAAATGCAGTTTAGCACAGAATTAGAACTTGGCAATAAAAGATCAAAGGCTGTATATGTCTGCTGGATCTCTAATAGTCTGTCTATGTATGAGCTCATGAAAACGTTTCCATGAAAACTTCTTAAAACTTCTATTTGCCACAAACTCGGTATTAAAGTTGAAAAATGCTCAATGCCTTTCATCTCCCTTTTGCAAGATCCTTTCCTCTAAGTGTCCTTTCAGACCTGCCAGCTGAGGTTTAGATGAGGATTATAGAAGCATTTGCAACAAGAAGGAATTTTACAAGTTCTTTTTGTAGTTCTGTTGCCTTGAAGGAAAAAAAAGAATAAAATAAATAAAATCAGGTGAAGTATAGAAGAAATATGACCAGCTTGGCCACACAGTTAAGCATTAGAATTTATTCTTAAAAGAATTAATGGGATCATTGTTGGTAGTAATTATTAAACACAGGCTAGAGAAATGCCAGTCATGAATACTGTAGTGGTAGTTGACCTTGACACAAGGCTCAAGTCACTGTGCTCCTGAAAGCCATTCTAGCACTCCTTTTCCTGATTTTCCAGCTGTTTTTTTTTTTTTTTTTTTTTTTTTTTTCCCTAAATCAAGACGCACAACCTGTGTGCTTAACAGCTAGGCAAGCAGACAGGGAGCATAGCAAACAGTCTGGAGCAAATCTGTGGATGTCAAGTTTGCCTTTGGAAGTTTTAAATTGATGATGATCATCAAAGCTTGAGAACAATACCCCCATGTAAGAGAAGGGAGGTCCTTCCCAGTGAAGTCTTGTCTTGAGACCACAGGGCATTGATGCTGCACTGAAGCTGCTGGGAGAGAGGAACGTTTCTGCCCCTAGCTCAGATTTTTCTCCAGAGTTTTATTTTGCTGTATTTGGATGGGGAAAAAGATCTACATTAGAAGAAGGTGAATTCTGACCAACAAGAAGTCGATGAGAAAGTCTCTGGAGCTAGACTTCCATTCTCAAAATGAGACAGCGAGAAGCTGATTGATGCCTAACAGCTAAAAATCTTTGGGGGTTTTCATTTATTTAGAAAAACTCTCAACCTGCTGAGACTCTGCCAGTATCACCCATCCTGTCCTCAGAACAGACTGGGGTTTTGGCCAAAGAAACATATTTTTAGCTTTTACTTTGGCAAGGGAAGGATTTGAAATACATGCAATGCTCTTTTTCACATCTGTGTTTGTTTATAAATTACACTCAATGTCTCCATTCATAAAATAAGAGTTAATCATCCATTGTGCTCATTTTCCACTGATAATTCATTTAATAATCAGAGGGACATATTTTGTGTCATATTTTGGAAGGTTATTATATGAAAAAGCACTAGAAATGATATGCAGAGGTATAATGAAAAAACCCTACAGTACTACAATCTGCCGCATCTTTATAAAAGCATTTAGAGACTGATCAGACAAAACCTTGGTTTTGCACGGGGTTGTTCCAGCCTGCTGGTGCATGAGTACACCAGTGTTATCCCACCCATCAACCCATGCCATCCCCTGGGGCAGCAGCCAAGGCGCCCAGCATAGAAACAAAGGATGAGCACCAGCTGTGGTTCTGTTGGCTTGGAAGAGGCAGGCAGGCAGCTGCTGCCAGCGGTGAAGATAATAGGATTGTGCCAGTAACCTCCCCAGTCCACATGGCTCCGAGGGACAGGACAGGACTGCGATGACCGACATGTCACAGTGGAAATACTGTGGGTTCGAGGCCCTTGCCTATGCAGCAGGAGGCAGTCTATAAATAATTTCAAGTTGCATTTTTGTAGCCCAGCTCTGTGTTATGTTTTCATGATAAAGTCATGCAAGCCAAGCTTTGTCTCAGGCCAGCAAAATCCATTGGAATAAAGCCCCCATGAAGTCCTTCATAAAGCACACATAAGGGTTACATAGGTTCTTGAATCTCACCCAGCAAATTTAGGGAGCAAGCCACGAGTCTGCTGTTTGTAAGCACTGGAGGTTTTCCTCCAAAAGTTCATGTGCCCGTTGGTTAATGAATGCTGTATGTCACAGGAGGCATGGTGATGGATTGATCTTCCCTCCTTGATGGGAATCTTTCAATTAAAAGTCTTTTATGTGCATTAGGCAAATGGAGTCCTTTTGTCCCAGAAGAAATGCATAGGGGGGTGGGAGCAAATAAAGTTAATGAATCGCAGCAGCTTCGCAGAAAAAGGAGGTGCTAGGGTATACTTGGAAAGCCTTTAGAGGTAATTCATCGGGTCCCTTGATTAAAAGAACCTCTAATGAACCCGAGGCTTATTAGGAGGCAAAGTGCTTTTCTGTAGCTTGTGCAACAACATATTTACCTTATCATAAAACAGGACTGACACCTGACAGCTTCATAGCAGGCTTGGAATTGCAATAGAAATTCCTCATTTAATACTCAGGGGGTTTTAAAAGATAAGGCCATGTTCTCTGTCAAACCACAGAGGACAAATGTGGTATGAGAAGGGAAAGAAAAAAAAACAGCCCCTTTGCCCTAGGCAGGACCCCTTATCTGGGGCATTATCAGCCATACCTATACTGTGGGGAGCTGAGCTGTGATTCTGGCATGTGCTCAAAGTGTCATTTTCATCTCGTTCTTTGTTTTCCTCATCTGCAGCGCTGTATCCACCTTCTGGATAGCCAACCCACACAACAACCTTATAAACTGTGCAGCTGCGGGATCTGAAGTGAGTACAGAAGTTTCTGATTTGGTTACAATTCAGAACTTCGAGCCCTGCAAGGCTGAGGCTCTGCTTGGAACAAAACCTGCTTCTGTTACTCAGGCATTTTTGAAACTGCTAGATCGAGACATATATTAATGTGGTTAGTGCTGCCAGTAAAAAATAATGCTTTTCCTTTTGCTGCACACTTCTTGTTTCTCCACACTTGCTGTTTCTAGAGCTGGATGGATTTAACAAAAATTCCCACCCTCTGCACAGTGTGCAGCCTGAATAAATGAAATAAATCTGACTGCATAGTGCCAGTGAAGTCTTTGTCAATGATTCTGTTGATTGCGGTACAGTAATGTTCCTCTGAAATTTCAATCAGCCCTAATGTTAATTCCACAGGAATTCTTGGTCTCAGTAGGAGCTCTTATTGTTCTACAAAGACAAATAAATAAATAAATCCTTAAACAAAGAGATGCGTCTCTTAAGCAAATGCATCTCTTTGTTCATGAGATGAGTCTTTCTAAACCTTCAAAATCTGATTACCTGGATTCAGGTTCCTAAATACGTTTTTAGGCAGGTAAATAACATTGACCTGATTTTTAAGACTTGTACATATACTGACAGGAGGACACTGGTGAATTATGAAAGTCTTGCTTATATCTTCTATATAGATAAGCTCTATATAGAGCTTAACTTAAAGCACCCCAAAGATGCTGGGTAGGAGTGTGACTGTGGATGTATGTGTGTGTGTGTGTGTATGTTCAACTTTCTGCTGAGTGCAGTAGAGAGGTCAGTGCTGCTAGCTGTGATTTGTCCTGAAAACTTCTGGCTTATGTCTTGTGGGTTTACTGATAAATCCTCGGGCTAATGCAGACCAGTGAAGAGGTTCAAGCGAAGGCTCAGCTGCTGGTTCTTTTTCTCAGGAAACAGGCTTTTGGTTTGTGCTGCACCACGTGCCGACGGGGCCCTCGGCGGGCATGTATTCCCCCGGCTACTCGGAGCACATGCCGATGGGGAAATTCTCCAACAACCGCGCGCATTCCAACTACCGGGTGAGTCTGCACGCAACTGGAATGCTGCCGTCCAAAAAACACCATTTTCTCGCTCCAGCTCTCTGGGTCTGCAAGCTATTAATGCCTGTGCTTTCTGTTTCACTAAAAGTTCATGCAAGCTTGTTTGTGTCTGCAGATAAAGCAGCTCGCATGCTGGCGTGGGAGCACTCGGAGTCAGCCAGCACCCGCTTCAACTTGGCTCTTGGGCATTGGGGCTCTTCTCTCCGCTCAGTTGCACTAGGCTCCGTGCTGCTGCTCTCCTAAAATAGCTCCTCAAGGAGCATCATCTATTGGCAGCTTGTCTAATTATAGACCCCAATTGCCAATGTTAGCAATTAACTGAACAGCTTCTAGAGGGATAAATACAGCCGCCGTGTCTGATCATTTTCTCTCGCTCTTGCCTTATTTACCCCCGTGCTATGGGGCTGTGCGGTGAGGGATGCTCATCACCGAGGGCCTGGAACTGCGGCAGCATGTTCATGGGTGTGGGGGTACATTCACAAGAATCGTCCAGTTTCTGTTAGCCTGCAGCAGTTTGGGGAGTGTATACAAGTCCTGATACTGTATGTTACTAACAGAAGCAGTTTTTAGAATCATGCGATAAGCTTTGGCTTAGGACAACTGGAGACAGAGCCTGGAAATTGAAAGAACCATAGAATAAATATACTGTAATGTTGCATTTCCCTTTTCTTCTAGGCTGGAATGATCATCGATAATGGCGTTAAAACCACTCCAGCCTCAGCCAAGGACAAAAGACCTATCCTGACACTGATTTCTGGGAGGTAAAGTGTTCTGCACAGCTTGGTTTGGAAAAGCCTTAATGTATAGCACTGATTGAGAGCTATGATGTTGCTCCCAAAGAAGCTGATAAGAATAATTGTGATGTTTTTGGGGCTTCTTATTAAAGAAAGGTCTTCATTCAGATTTACCACCTAACTTTGTCTTCCCCATTGCCTATCATAAAGGATGCACTGTGCATGTTCACTCTCCTTTCTTTTCAGTTCTGAGATGAGCTGGTAGGGATATTACACGTGCACAAGGGTGTTATATTAATTTTTTTGTAGATAGAACATCTCTATAGATGTATCATATCAGCAGACCTGCTCTGCTGGGCTGGCAGGCACCTGAGAGTTCCCACTCTTTCCCCAAAGCAGGCCACAGCAGGGAGGCTGAAGTAAGCAAAGGGCTTCTGCAGGCAAAGTGTAATAGTGTAAGGGCTGCGCTTGCACCCTTTTATCTTGTTAGAGGTTGGGTCTGGCTCTTAACATAGCTGCCAGCCCCAGAGACAGAAAAGGACTTAAATGCTCTCAAGTTGCACAGTTTTATTCCCTGACACCAGTGCCTCCAGTGGCACCCAACCTGTGTTTTCCCATGCCTGGGTTCCTCAACAGAAGAAACCATCTGAGGAAGAGCAACCTGCTGAACATCCCTGTTCAAGAAGGGAGAATGACTCTCAGTGTTTTTTTTTCCCCTTTCCATCTCCCAGGCGCTGTAGTCATGCACTGGGCAAGGATTGCATGGGTGGGATCAGTCCTCTTGAGGGGACCCAGACAGAACTGCAGTCGTAACTGTGCCCTTTGTCCTATGTCTGTATCCCCCCTGTGCCCTGCCTTGCAGCTGATGCTAAACGAAGTTCCAAAGTGAACATTTTTTACATCATTTTAATGCTAAATCAATTTAAATAATTACATTGAAATTAATTACATAATGAAAGCAACTGCTAAAAAATAATAAGAGCAGCCTTCCCTGCAAATACCTCCAAATTCTCCTGGGAGCTCGATGCTACTTTTCCAAATAGCTGAACGTGTGCCTTGGGAAAGTGCCTGTTGCCAGAGGCACAGCAAGTGATTACAAAAGGCAATTTGTCCCTTGCCATACAAGGGCAGGAATGACCCCTGGAAGCCAAGAAATTCATAATGCAGTCATGTTTGTGCTTGGTGATTACCCACCAGTGTGGGCTGCAGCTCAAAATATTTCTACCGCTTTGTACTTTTCACGTGTCGAGGCTGAAAGCCTGAATAAGTGATTATAGCTGGACTGGCCAGGGCAGCCTTGGAGGTAGGCTGGACAGTTACGAAGCTGGAGAGATTAATCTGCATTCGGTTACGGCATTAAATATCTGGGCAGAACTCCGTACCCTGTAGCATTATTCCAGATACACATGGACGTGAATGAAACTGGAATCCGTCTCGCAATATCTGTATTTAACAATGTCTAGGGAATTCACAAGGGCTGATACTAAATCTCTCTCTGAAAGCAAATTCATAGTGATGAGGCTGCCAAGGCAATATTCATTTACTGGAACCCCATCAGCCTGCCGCTCAGTTTTAGATTGATATGATGGCTTATTAAGCAAAGCAAAGCGCTATTGAATATCTGTTAGCGATTTGACAGCTTGGCCTCGCTACCCATTGGCGAGGCATGAATTTTAATCTCTGGACCATCCGCTGCTGGCACTGACTTGAATGCTCATCTGTCAGGGTTTCTAAGCCACGCTGCGCTGATGGGAGATGCTCCTTCGGTAGCAATAAGGAAAGCAACCCCTCAGGTGTGGGTAAATGCCAGCCGAGCTCAGCAGCACCGCAGCGAGCCAGATCCTCACTTGGATGCTCTTGTCCGAGTGGAGGCAGACAGGCAGCAGCTGAGGGCACTGTAGCTTCCACTTACGTTTCTTTTTTTTTTTTTTTTTTTTTTCTTTTCCTACATCAAGCCAATATTTCATCATAGTTGAGGGTTTCAGAGCTAATAAATCTCTTGCGTGTGTCCTGGGCAATGGGTAGTGGAGGAGCTACTCTCAGCCCCTCTCCAAGATGTTTTAGTTCCTTTCTGCAGTGAGGAAAAATACCCATTGTCACAGTATGGCCAAGGGTAGGAGATAAGAATGCTCAAAAGGGGAAACAAAAGGACACTTATCTAAACAGGAATATGCTAAAGGGTAACAGAAAGGAACTAAAAAACATCTCAGCCTTTTGGGAGCAATAATAAACTTTCCGTGCCTGCAGCAATATATCAGCAATACAATAATGGCAAGGTGAAAGGAAACTTGGAGCGGGTCTTTACAACTGCCTGGCCTGGACTGGCCGTCCCTTGGCAGTGGGGTCTGGCCACCGCAGCTCGCCGAGACACGCTGCTTGGCCGGACTGCTGTCCCAGGGCTGTTCTGAGCTAGCAGAAACCAGATGTCCTGCAGGGCCGCAGACCGAGTGAGGCCGCCTTCCCTCGCCAACGTTTCTTCTCTCCTTCTGGTTACAGATACAGCCCACACAAAGATGCTGATCCTTTGAAGCCCAGGGAACCTGCAATAATCGAGCGCTTTATTGCCTACAAGAATCAGGATCACGGAGCCTGGCTGCGGGGTGGAGATGTGTGGCTGGACAACTGCCAGTGAGTTTTGCCTTATTTCAACTCTCGGAGTTCAGCCTGGTGTTTATGGCGAGCATAGCTGTGGTTCAGACTATTTATATTGCTTTGCACCTTTTCATATGGCCAAGATTGAAATAAAGATGAAACATTAAGTAAACGCAGGCATTGTTTTATGCAAACAAAACCTGTTTTTTGTCTGCACTGAAGATCACTTAGATTGTTTTTGTGTGCGATTCTGACCAGCATGCAAAAATGATAACACGCAAACACATACACACACACGTGCACAGATGCAAATAACTGTACCTTCTCACACGAAAAACAAGGTGCTTTGGCAAGAAGTCAGCAAAATCCACCACCTTTCCTGGCTAGGTCTGGTCACAGATCAGCTTTATGTGGTTCAGTGTTATGCTGAATAAGCTAGTACTGATGAAGTAGACATGAAACTATGCATCATAGCAGCAAGGGAGAGAAACTGGGCAAACACGTCTTGTGCTCTTTGAAGGCTGTTTCCTGTGCTGGTCAGAACAGATACTTCTTTTGCACTTGAAAACAGATGATCTGCTATATTTCCTTCTGCTGAGCCAGGCTCTTGATATCAACCAGGAAGAAATGGGAGAAAAATGAAAAAGCTACTTTACAAGGCATTTTGTGATCACCCTGCCACGAATAGCTGTCTCTCCATTATCTGGTGCCCAGCTGCTGGCAGGGCTGCCTTACCCTAGAGTGACCCACGTCTCCTAAAGGCACCAGAGGCTATAAACTGGCTCTAGTGACCTGTCAGATTGGCAAGAAGGAGATTGGGGCAGAACGGTTGGAAATGTAACACTGAGTCGCCCTGTTTGTGCTTCTTGCCAACCAGAAATACCTCATACACGCCACTGGCCGACAAGTGATGTCTTTGCAGATCACTCGCATATCACTTAGAGTTTGTGCTGCTGAGTGCTATGTACAGAGGGTACCGAAATACGCAGCAGGTTACCCCGTTTGATGAGCTTCCAGTAGCAATCCTATGGTTGTATCTGAATAAAAGGAAGCGGCTGTCAGACTGTAATTGCCTTTATAGCCACCCTAATTTCCGTTTGTGTTGCTACAATAAGACTTATGTAGTACATTAACGAAACAAATGTTAATGTGGTGTGCAGGGTACGTTTATGGGACCGCAGACACAGAAGGAAGGCGATAGTGTGTAATGGGCTGCCACCTAGAGACAAAAGCAGGATAAGGCAGAGCTAGGTCTTAGCTGCTGGCTCTCCACTAAGGGTTTTGATATGCAGGAGAGAACAGTGACAGAAGTGTACATTTACTTGTGTAAATATGCCATCAAGATATTGACTCAAACCATCACATTAACTGTAGCCTTCACATAAGCTGGAGGCATTGATCGACAGCTGTGATTTATCTCATCTAAAAGCATTAGAATTTGAGCAAAATTGGAGGACATTGTATTTTTTATTTTTAATAAGGAAGATCAGATCTCTATCTGCCTGCTAGTGAAAAAGAAGCCAAGCTTCACTGCTTTTATAGCATTTCACCTACTAAAGTTATTTCATGGAAGCAGTATGTGATACATGAACACAGGGAAGCACAGAGCTGTGGGTAAGACAAAGCATTATTAAATAATAAAAGGTAGTTGGGGTGAGAGATAAACACAATCTTTTTACCTATCAGTGAAAAGAGTGTGATCATTAGATGCAGGGAAAAACCTTTGACAGGTAAACTACACCCAGCCATCTCAGACTTAACTTCCACATAGAGCAATTAGGTGCGTGGCTGCTGCTTCTTATGAATCACATATATCTCAAGGTGTGCCAAAAAAGATCTTCCAAAACTGGAAAGGGAACAAGCACACAAAAACCTGAGTTCTCCTATGAGCACCATTCAGTAACTAAGCCCTGCTGCCCTCCGCCTCACTGGTTTGGTGATTTCAGTTTGACATGATAAAACAAACGAACAAAACCAAACAAAAATCTCTTCTGAAGCACCTCTCTTCTCCCGGCAGGTTTGCAGACAATGGCATTGGGCTGACCTTGGCGAGGTAAGTGTCACACAGGTTGTGCCGCAGCGTGGGGCACAGGCTGTGAGCAGCCCCTTCACCTCCAGCCCTTTCCCTCTAGTGGTGGGACCTTCCCTCATGATGACGGCTCAAAGCAAGAAATCAAGAACAGCCTATTTGTCGGCGAGAGTGGAAACCTGGGCACGGAGACTATGGACAACGAGATCTGGGGACCTGGAGGCCTGGATCACAGAGGCAGGACCCTGCCAATCGGCCCGTAAGTCCAGCTCACCACATCAAAGCACTTGCTGTTCCCTTTCCTGGTACAAACTCCAAGCCGGTGTGGTTTCCTCAGCACTGTTTGGTTTAATAGCTTGCACACAAAGGATTTGGTTTCATGTCTCCCTGTCCCAAAGCCCTCACTGTGCAGCTGCTGCTGGCAGGTATGTACTTGCAGGCTGCCAAAACAGCATCAAGCTCCTCTCTCCTTTCACCTCCCCTTTGCAAACAGAGTTGAGGAGACAGCCAAAGGAGTGTGTGCTAGCTGGGTGCTTTTGTACACATAGTCAGCAGTGGTTGCACAAAGTGGCCGTCTCCATCCCAGTCAGCTGCCAGGAAATCTCACAGAAGGCCTTCCAGTGGGCTTGAGCTGGCCTAGATGTGGTCATAGATGGCCTCAGAGCTGCTGTTAGTATTGCTGCTGTGCTATGGGAATTTGATGCCTTCAGTAAATAACTTCAAAACATCTAGTGAACATCATGTGTGGCCTCTTCCTGGACCTTAGTCCTACAGATTTGTTTGCAAGTGAAGTAATGTTTTTCTGTTATTCCTGAAAATATAGCTATCCTAACAGTAGCTCTATAGAGAAAAACAGCTCAACTGATATTTTTCTGTCATTCTATGTTTCTCAACTTTACCTGTTGGTAGTGATGCAGCAGGTTTATTAACCATAGTAATAATGAAAAGCCACTCTTCTAGGACCCTCCTTCTAATATCATTCGCATATAAATACGTGGGCATATATTGTCATGTGTATTGTGTGCCAAAACTCACAGTGACAGAAGTGTGACCTTGCCACAGAAACAGGGAAACCATTCATATGAGAAAGGGATCAAATTCTGATTTATTATAAGTGAAATGTGAAATATGAAATATCATCTTAGCCTCTTAAGGAGTTTAAACACCACAATCAGTTAATCAGCATGAAAGCAGTGTCATCTTTACCATGCAGCTGGTATCAGAAAAGGCTTTTAAAGTTGCATTGGTTTGTGCCCTCTCAACTGTTTTCAACCTTATCGGTGAGATCTTTCCTTGATTTCAAATCCATTTTTATTGCAGTTAAGTTGCACTGTTTCTCTGAAAGATGTGATAGGACTTCTATCCCTGCTGTTACTCAGCCCAAGGAGTCTGTGTAGATCTGAGGAGTTTCAGGTTTCGCTGCTGCAGAACTCATTTGTGATAGCACACACGGATTTATTCAGTTTTAGTTCAATGCCTTGGCACGGCTCTAAGATCCTTCCCTGGAGGAGTACAGACTAAATAAAGATGATCTGTCTCAGACATGAGAGAACTTGAGATGAACTTGCAAGGTTAAGAAGACTTCACAGACCTAAAAAGCAGGGAAATCCCTTCTCTTCCAAAACATTAACTCAGGAGTCATCCTAAGGGCTGTGGAAAATGATAGCAGCTGAGAATCAAGTGCTGTGGGACTGTCCATGTCTAGAATGTATTCTCAACTTCATGCTCATGTCATGATTATGTCTCTCTGTCTCCTCCAAATGTGTTTTAGGAACTTTCCTATTCGAGGGATCCAGTTCTATGATGGCCCGATCAACGTCCAGAACTGCACCTTCCGGAAATTTGCTGCCCTTGACGGTCGGCACACGAGTGCCTTGGCCTTCAGGCTCAATAACGCCTGGCAGAGCTGCCCCAACAACAACGTGACCGACATCCATTTTGAAGATGTCCCTGTGAGTTATCCTTCCCAGCAAGGCCTTTGCCAGTTGGCTTGGAAACATGGTTGTGGGCAAAAAGGGTGGAACAGCCTTTGGGGGAAAATAATAATAATAAAAAAAAACACTAGATCTGCAGGAGGTGCCTGTTGTCTTTGCCACGAATTTCATAAAGACAATGGCACCTGAGAGAGAGGAAATTGGGTGGGTGAAATAACAAGCAAATCCAGTTTTCAGCAAAACAGAAGTAGGCATCAGTATCAAAAATAAAAAATAGTGACATCCAAGTGAAAATCACTTTCCTTTCTGTATGTCTCAGAAACTGGTGAATTAGGAAGACTTTGCCCCCTTATTTTCAACATGGGTATAATATTAAAGCAACAACAGAGGGAAGTCTGTTGCAGAAGGTCTAACCTGCCTAGAAGCAACAAATACTAATTTTGGGAAACAGCCAGTGAAACTGAGCAGATGCTGGATAATTGTGGAGCTCTGCACACAAGGGTAAATCCATGGACTCCGGTTCTGCAGACATAAATGAAAGCAGAATCCAGCCAAAGAGTGGCTGCCAAACGTTGAATTACAACATTAACTTCTAGGTGCTGGTCTGAACCTGGTCTGGGGTCTGTGATTTAGTTATTTTTGTATTTGCTTGCACAAATATGTGCTAACTGGTTGCTGATGTTCACCTCTAGCAGCTGTTAAATCCAACTGCCAAACATGACCAACAAATAAATAAAGTGGTTGGGACTGAAATTATTTGGGTTGCTTAAGTTTCAAAAAGTTAGCAAACTTGCTCGCGTGTCAGGAAAAGTGCTGAGTAGTGATCTTTGTGCCAAATGGGGTGGGAAAGGCAAAATTTCCCTAAAAGCGTTGGTAGGTCACTCTCGCGCATTGCACTAAGCAGGCTGGTGACATGACATTTATTTATGCTGGATAAAAATATGTCAGAAGTTGCCCGAGCAGCCATTTCCCAGGGGAGGTCACTGATTGTTCCCAGCATCATTATGACTTTATGTGGCTTTGGAACCTTAAAGTATATTAGTGGACAACAAGCGAAGTGGCTATAGTGAAATTGCCCCGTCTCCTGAACCTTCCTCCAGAATTTTAAAACAAATCTTCACTGCTGTGGCTGCAGTTCGGGTTATTTTAGCCTTTCCCCCAGGGTCAGCAGGAAAATCTATGTCTGCTCTGTCTGACAAATCAGACACACCTGTAAAGAGCACGACCCATCTCTACACTGACTTCAGACTTAATGAAGAGGCATTGTGCAGGTAAAGGGGGAAAATCCCAATGTTCCTGTTGCAAATGACACTGATGTTCCTGCCAGCTAACAGGACCAAATGAGCTGAAAATGATTTTATTGTTTCCAGCTTTGGATGCCCTATTTCAGAAGCTCATACTTTTATTAGCACAGAACTGTTATCCCAAAACACCTGGAACTCCAAACTTCATCTGGAGGCATGGAGCTTCAGTGCCTCTAAATATCAGGCTTAAAAAGTCTCAAGCTGAGCAGCCAAATATCTGCGGCTGTCTAAAGAATGATGCATACACTGATTTCTTCATGCACAACTTGACCCCCAAACTCAACAATATTTCTTGTCCAAGCTGTTTTCTAAAACCAAATAAAGTCAGAAAATGGGTCCTTTGAGCCGTGTCGGTGACCACAGCTGTCCTTAGCTTTGCACTTTAACTGATTAATTCCTTTTTGGTGACATAAATGTGTTTCACTGTTTTGTTTAGATTACCTCAAGGGTCTTCTTTGGAGAACCTGGACCCTGGTTCAATGATCTGGATATGGATGGTGATAAAACATCAGTTTTTCATGATGTAGATGGCTCTGTGTCTGAATATCCAGGCTCATACCTGATAAAAGAAGATAACTGGCTAATCAAACACCCTGACTGCATCGATGTGCCCGACTGGAGAGGTTCTATCTGCAGTGGACACTACGCACAGGTAAAGCTGCTAACTTTGCAGTTTTGTAATCACGTTATACTTATTTTAATTCTCTTGGCACTGTACATCTTGACCTTTAGAAACTGACTTTCTTCAGGGTGCTCACTAACTGCATGTGTGAGCAGGTGGTTTTGAAGCTGAGGATATTGTGCTTTTGTTCAGATGCTTTGGCCTTCACTGTTAACTGAAACAAATTTTACCTGAAGTCCTGTGAAAACTCCATGAGCATTAACAGCTTAATATTTCCAAATGTACTGGTTTCCGGGTAGGGGAAGGTTATTTTCCCTTGTTTAATGGCGGGAAATGTTACCCACAGTGCTATGGGAAGTGTGCTGAGGAGTCAAAATTGGGCTTCAACTCTCATGATCTTTCATCCTGTTGTGTAACCACAAACCATTCTTCCTACCACACGAGCTCCTCACCCTACTGCTGGGAGAGAGCCCTTACTTTCCTCTCATGAGCAGCACCTTTTTTTTTGTCTTAGGTGCTGCAAGTGTTGTTTTTTTTTTCAGTGTAGGGCCACTAAAATCTATTCATAACCACTGAGCTGTTTTTCCTGCTTCTGAAATCCAGACAGAAGGGTCCTTGTTTAACAGAAGTCAGATGTCTGAGGTGGATGACACCCCACAGCCAAGGGTTACCATTAACACTGTGGAATATGATAGGCCTACCTGTGGCCTTAACTGGCACACACTCTTGACCTCGGATAAGGAAATTATCTTTCTTTTTTTCTTTTCTTCCTGAAAACTGTCTATTTTGTTGAAAAAGTGAAAAAGAAGCTGAAGAAACTGAATATACAGGTATACGTGTATGTCATACAGGTCACTGCTGAAGTAACAGGCCTCGCACAAGTTCACAGCTATTAAGCAGCTGAGCCTTTAATGTTTTACTGTAGACCATTCTTTCTCTCATCTAGATCTACATCCAAGCCTACAAGCCAGCCAACCTCAAAATGAAAATAATAAAAAATGACTACCACAATCACCCACTCTACTTGGAAGGGGCTTTGAGCAAAAGCACTCATTACCAGCAGTATCAGCCAGTTATAACTCTGAGGAAAGGCTACACCATCCACTGGGACAAGACGGCCCCTGAAGAGCTGGCCATATGGCTCATCAACTTCAACAAGTGAGTGATCCAACTGAATTCCAACATTCCTGCTCAATAATGTAACTGCATATTTTTAATGGGTGAGCTCATCGCCTCATGAACTCTTCCAGAATGAACATGCTTGTTCCAGGAAGTCCATTGACTTCACCATCTTTCCATCTGACATCTTAAATTCCTGTTTCCTCCCCAGGGAAGCCCTGGAAGATAACACCATTCATTTTTAGAAGCCTAGAGCTAATTCATTCCCGGTGCATGGAAGTTGGAGGTGTAGGAGTCAGGAGAGGATCTGACCCCCACTGCTCAACTAACCCATGGATGTTGTGTCTAATTTACATGGCACTGATTCATCCCAAGTCATTAAAATTTTAACTGGCCATGAAAAAAATAAGTTACATTTCAGAGTGAATTATTTAAACTGGCTTTTAACATGCCCAGGAAAATAATAGTCATGTGTCGACTTGTTATAATTTCGGTCTTTGCTATTTTAGGAACGACTGGATCCAAGTAGGGTTTTGTTATCCTAGAGGGACGACATTTTCCATCCTGTCAGACATTCACAATCGTCTCTTGAAGAAAACATACAAAACTGGAACCTTCTATAGAACCTCTCAGATGGAGAAACTGGAGTACAGATATCCTAGCAAGGGATACTACTACTGGGATGAGGACACTGGGTAAGGAAATGACCCTTACTTATTTGGACACAGTGCTGAGAAAGCTGCTGAAATCATGAGCCTTTTGGCTAATGCCATTAGCAGGGATCACAACAAAAACAGGAATTCTTTCTGGGAATGTGACCAGCATTTAATTTTCTTGGGACTCCCACAGCTGCCAGTCATTCATAGGCTGTGCTGCACTGCCAACTACTCTGGGAAATGTTTTGCCAAGTGAATACAAATTAGGAAAAAAAAAGAAAAAAAGAAGTAAAGTGCAGACCATAGCACTGAACTGGAGACACACCCAACCCTTTTTGTTTTGAACATCAACCATTTATAAATACTAAGACAGGGATGCACAGGAACCAAGACAGTGAAGTCTGTTGTTTTCTTTTAACAAATTTTTAAAAATGGGTAAGAAAGAAACATAAAATAAAAACCATTTAGCTCTCTGTGTAAATGAACATTATAAAATAGAGCTCTAAGATATTTCAGGTGTCAGCTAATCTCTGTCTTAATTTCCCTGACCTCCCCAAACCATTTCTGAGATGCATCCATTTAATTGCATGCAATATGTTCAGCATTATAATTTGCAGACTGAGGGTTTGCAACATGCGTCACTACAAAGCATTAGGAAAGAGCTCACTGAAAATGGGACTTTGTCATTTTTTGTACAGAATGCTGAAGTATGCTCTTCACTCTTCTCTTCTATCCACAGGCTGCTGTTTCTGAAACTTAAAGCTCAAAATGAGAAGGAGAGATTTGCTTTCTGCTCTGTCAAAGGCTGTGAACGAATAAGGATCAAAGCTGTGATTCCAAAGCACGCTGGTGTCAGTGACTGTGAAGCCATGGCCTATCCCAAGTACATTGAGACGCCCATAGTAGAAGTGCCAATGCCTAAGAAGCTATCAAGTACACAGCTGGTAAAGTAGCTGTTCTTACCACAAAATTATTGTCATTGTGAATCTGTAGCTATTGTTCCCATAGTTATGGAAAGACTTTGTACTGGATTCAGGATATCCCGAGCCTAATTTTCTGAAATGGACCAGGCATAGAAAATTATATGAAACATATTCTTGCAAGTGCAGAGAGCAGAGGTCCTCAAAGGACAGAGCTGTTCACAACTTCAGCTGAAGCTGTGCTTAAGAGCACAGGGTAAAAAGTGATGTGATGTTGGAGAGAGGCAACTATGCTCGCCTGGCCTCCAGCCCCTCCAGGCTGTAAGAACAGAGGGAACTGCTCAGCTGTGTCTCATTCATATAAATGATTTGTACAACACTTTTGTCTCCTATATCCTGTCCGGTCTGGTTCTGAGGGAAGGACAGGGATATTTTTCTGTTTTATTTTGTTTTGTTTTCCACTCATCACCCTTGAAGCAGGAATGCATAGCAAAGCCTCACAGAATCACGTATCAGCTCTGCAAAGTGAGAATCACTTAAGCTCTGCTATTTGGTGAAACAATTTAGATGCTGGCAGGGTGAGCAGAGAGGTTACCATTGTGCCCAGTCTCATTAGCAATGCAATTTGGCAAGTCACAGCTTATTATGTAGCATTCTTGCTGATTGAATTTTGAGGTTTAAAATGTTTTAAGCATTCAGGTATTGTACATCCTCATCAAAAACTTTGTTTATTTACTTTTTTAATAAACAGAAAACAAAGGACCACCTACTGGAAGTGAAGATAGAAACTTATAAGAAGCAGTACTTCCACCTAAAAGACGACTTTGCATACATTGAGGTGAGCAGGTCATCCCAGTGAACTTTAAGAGACAAAGATATCTAAGATACTTGTCTCATTTTTATGGAAAACTTGCTTATGATGTGGCCATGAATAGTTAGATTTGGGTCACTTTTGCTTTGTATTTTGAAAAAAGAAAAAAAAAAGAAAAAAAAAATGCAGGACAGCTTGACCTCAGTGATCTGTAATTCTGCCCTCTGATACAATGAGCAGTCCCCTGATTCAACACTATCAGTGCTTCTTAGAGATGATTGTTTTGTATTTTTGTTTCTTCAACAAACCAAGAATATCCTTACCCTCCACATAGGTTGATGGTGTAAGGTTTTTCCTCACCGATGAGGGTATTCAACTGATTGTGATTGATGGACATCACGGGAAAGTGGTTGACCGAGTAACATTCAAGAATTCAATTCTACAAGGAATCCCAGCACAGATCGAAAACTATGTCAACAACATCAAAGATCAGTGAGTAATCTGCTGTTACTAAGGCGTACTATACAAGAATGCCGTACAACACAGCTTTTTTTGGCTTTAGTCACCTAACACGGGCCAGACTGACTGGGCTAGCAATGTGTTTCTGTACCTGCTGACTCCAACAGAGTCCAAATATGTGCAGGACATCCAGGCTGCAGAAAGATGCAGACTGTGATTTAGGAACAGATCAAGCCTCCGATAAGCTGCAGAGCTACATTTGATTAATAAACTGCAGATCCACATTTATGTGGTGGGTTACAGATTAACTGCAGGCTTAAATTGAAGAATAAACTCAGCACTTATCGGTACAGATGTGCACAGTTTACATTTTTCTATTGCCTGCACACTCTCAAATAGCAGAAAATCCCACTAATAAAATGCATTCCTCTTTGCATATGTTCCCTGCCAATACTTAAGGTCTGTGTGCTTTTATTTTTAAAACATGGCAGACAGAAATGCAGAGACTTGCAAGTGGGTGGTAAGTACCCAACAAATGCTCTTGCATCCTGTAGGACACTGGGTTTGTCTGTGGGAACAGTAAAGGGAATAACAGGGAAATATGTTTATTTTGTTAAATATGTTTAATAAATATGTTTATTTCCCTGTTATTAAACCTGTTTCGATTGGAAATTTGGTACCTAACATTTAATACAAATACGATTGCTTTGCTGATGAGCCATTTGAAATAACTGTGGGCAGATAGACAGGATATTTTTCTAGGATTTATTCTAGAGCCTTGGGGGGAGAAGTTTCAGTGGCGCGACATGTATGAGGATACAGAAGTGTTTCTACTGTCTTAAATAGTCCTAAATGTTGCAAAAAAAAAACAAAAACAAAAACAAAAACAAAACAAACAAAAAAAAACCAGTTACTGTAGAGAAGTATGGTAGTTGCTCGCTCTTCTTTTATTAAAAATAAAATAAAATAGGACATTTCACAAAGACCATCATCCTCCTTTGCAAAAAGTTCAGTCTCTATCCCTGCGGAACCCTGCTGTCTGGATTCTTTCTTACTTTAGAGGATTGATTTGTAACTGGGCTTTAGGTGCATTTAAGTCTATCTGAGCCTCTTGATTACTGTTGGAACTGGATTGGGATTAGTGTTAGGGTTAGGTCTAGAACTGGGTCCAACCCAGTCAGCAGCTCTTGAGTCTCGCTCAGCTGTGTGTGCTTGCAAGGGCTGAACCCTCAAATTCTTCTCCTTTCACCAGAAGCTTTCCCAGCCTTTCCATTCTGATTAGACTTCACTCATAACCATGAAACATCGTTCATCCACTTATTGAGTGAGGGTATTGTTCAGTTGGATGCAGACACCATACAGAAGGAGGGACTGTACAGCCAGCAGCTTCTTGTCAGCTCTCCCCTCTGCACAGAGCACAAGCTGTACAGAGGAGTGGTGCTCACAGAGAGGAGGAGACTCCACCACCCAAAATACCTACGCAGGCTCTCATGAAGATACTCCTAGAACAACTTTTAAATAGATTTATAGAGCTGGGGATGTGAGAAGAGTTGTTTCTAGCAATGACATGCCTCTTGGGTCATTTAAGGAACTCTCTGCCAAATTATTATTTTTCTTTTTTTAAGAAAACAAAATATGTTAAACTTATTTTAAACTTCCGTAGCAGAAAAGGCTTAATAGAAACTAAATATTTTACTAAATAGAAAAAAAAAAAAAAAAAGCGATTCAGCATGCACAACGCAGTCAAAAAACAGCCTGAAGGCTCAATCCATTCTTGTAAGCACTGGTGGATTTTAACACCTTGGTTTTATTTTAGGAAAAGACCTGATGACTCTTAATTCCTCTGCTTCTCTTTTTCCTTTTCTGTTTTCCCCTGAAGAGTTTCAGTTCCAGCTGAGGTGTTAGGAGGTATCTACAGCACAGAGTAGCTCAGGGCTTGAGCTCTGCAGGAGCTGCTGCCTAATTAATTTTAGCGACTCGTGTCCACTGTGATGCAGGAAAGCAGACCCAGCAAGACTCTCAGCTGAGAGCCAGTTGAGTCAGGAAAGCTTCATTCATGGAAACCCTGCAAGGTGGAATTCAATTATTTAATCTGACCAAGTGTTTGCTCAATTATTCTGCCATGCAGCTTTAATTAAGAGCTGAGCAAGAATGGCACCCCAGCCCCACTGAACTTAATAGCAAACTTCCACCGAGCTCACTGATGTGTACTGCTCTTCCTTGATATGCTCTGAGATAATCCTTGGAGGTGTTTGTGCATCTTGTAAGGAAGCAATGAGTTAACTTCTTTGAGTGGCTTGTGCTACTCTCTGGAGAATTTTCACTGGGTGATTATCCCTTCATGTTTCATTCAAATATTAATTCTACACTTTTAGAATTAAGCCCAGTTGGTTATTGAGTTTTAACCAAGTGCTTGCAGATTTGCACTAGTTTAAAGTACTTAATAAGTCTTTTGTTTATCACTTTGCATTTGACCCCAAGAAATTTTGAGTTGAAAAACTCTATGCAAGCAGGACAATAATAACAAAAATGTTCTAAGACGAGAGATTATTTGAGACTTGCAATGAACATCCCAGGGAGAGCATGTTCCTTTCTGAGCAAAGCAGGATGGAAGTGCTGGTTGGAAACATTTGAGCCACCCCAGAAGCCAGTGTGTTAAATAATAATAATAATAATAAATTAAAAAAAAAGGCAAATTCCATCTGTTTCCTAATGGGTTTTGCATGATTGCAAAAGTGAACATATGACTAAGATGTTAGCTTTGACAAAAGCCATTAAGGCAGAAACCACTGCAGTTCATGGATGTCTTTGAGTCACTCAGGCTCAAGCCAGACAAGCGAGGACTGTTTTCTAACTCTTCATCTGTTCCTAAATGGCTTTGTTTCCTTCAGCTCTATAGTGCTGGTGACGTCTAAAGGAAGATTCATTTCAAGAGGACCATGGACTAAAGTACTGGAGAAACTTGGAGCAGGAGAGGACTTTAGGTTAAAAGGTAACTGCTTTTTAAAAATGCAGATCTAACAACGCTTTGATCTATTCCCCTCCCATGGTTTCCATAAAGGCACTTTTTTTGTCTGCTTCTAAACTTTACCTTGCTTATTTCTATCAGCATGCGCTCAGACATCCTGGAAGAGGTCAGTTACTTATTCAGGAGGGTTGTATCCCCTGCAGGTTTGGATAACAGCATTTAGTTTAAAACTGTAGATGGAAAAGTGACCTGGCAGCTGCTGTTAAAGGAGTTCCAGGGCTTCCAGATTTGTTTTAAATAAAGAGGTATTTTAACAATAGAAATATTGGACTTTTTCCCCCACTATATGCCCCAAAACATTTTTTTTTTTACTTGTCTGCAAATATTTTTATCTGGTTTTCTCTTGAAACGAAGTTCCAACTTGAAATCAAGCGTCTTGATTTCAAAGTATCACATACTGCACTAGAATTGTTCTTTGTGCACAATGCTCTGATCAGCAACAACTGTGATCTTTTTTTCCCTGAGTATAACCACCATGCAAATGATGATAGCTTCAGTAGACAGCTCAAGCTGCCTGCTCTGACAGGGGGTTTCCTGCTCCTTTTCTCCTCTGCTATGTGTCACAAAGGGGCTATTGTTAACTAATGCAAGCATTCAACATGTAAATGCAATTTTAATTAAACTTCATCAGGAAAGTATTCTTTAATATCTTGATAATGCATTATTGGCAAAGTTTGCATCCACATTTGTGCTCTTGACCACCTGCATCTGTCCAGCCATGTGGGTGTAGCCACACACACTGGCTTCCCTGTTTTTTTTCCAGCCCTGATGCACTCCTAATGTATTTGCTCTGTTTTGCAGAAAAAATGGCTTTTGTTGGATTCAAAGGCAGCTTCCGTCCTGTCTGGGTGAAGCTGGTCACTAATGAGGACTCAGCTAAAATCTACCAAGCACTGCCAATTCCTGTGGTGAAGAAAATGAAATTATGAGGACACGACGCCTCGCCTTCTGGCTGCCAGCACTGCCCCCAGTCGGATGGACTACTGACTGCTCACGACAGGCACATCACCAGCGTGCTCCAGCAGTGTAGCATTTTCTTGTTGTTGTTGTTCAAAAAGAAATCTTACTGTAAGTAGCTAGAGTGGCCACATGTGACGGAAACGCATTCCTCTGCCATCAGCACATATCCCGCGATCATCAGCTCCTCACCAGTTGACTTGCTCACTGATGCCCTGTTGGCGCTCGTGTCACTAAGCAAGGTTTGACCGGATTTACAAGGTGCTGGTTTTATCAGCACGCCCACGACAGACTTAAAAAAGTTATTTGCTGTCTCTCAAAGGGTCAGCTCTAGAGCTAAAGGACACTGAAGATTATTGTTTGTACCAGACTCTAAATTGTTCAAACACTTGTGTTTTCTTTTCATGATGTACCTAGCCAATTTGAAGGCTGGTTGAAAATCAAAGACAGCAAGAGTGTATTTGAATGGTTACCTAGATGCTAGGATAACTGGACAGCAAAAATTTACCCTAAAGTTCCTGTGACAACTGATCAAGCTCTTTGGGATCTGTATTATAAACACTAACCCATGGCACATAGATGGGGAAGAGAGGAGAGAGGAGCAAATAAAGCAACACCAACAGAGATTGGTGCAACCACATATTTCTGATTGCTCAGAAAACTGTGATTCTCCTATATGAATTCAGGACTTTCAACAGTGGTTACTCAAACAGGAGGTCTTCCTTCAACATGTAGCCATAGGATCAGAGGAAAGACCTGTCACTCAGCACATACACTTCCTCAGCCTCTCCCATCCAGTTCCTCCATCTAATAATGTTCAGGGCCAATCTGGAAGGTTTATGGTAGCCAGTCAAAGGGAGCATTTGCTCGTGGTTTCCCATTTTCAGCTGGGGATACTGGGACTTGGGTTGCTCAGCCACAGCTGGGTGAGCAGCCCTTATCTCTCCAGGGGTGTTGGAGGGAATAGGAAGGGCTGGTCTGCTGTGTGTTGCTTCCCCACCGCGTCCTTAGGCTTAAGGACAGGTGTGTCTTGACCTCCTGGAAGAGCTGCATGAAATCTAGGTGGAAGGTGGCAGAGGTAGAAGTCTTTGAGGTCTTACCAGGAAGCTGAAGAATTAGAGTGGGAATCCCCATACACTAGTTGAATGTCTTGTGGCTCCTTTCCCCCCTTCTTCAAAGCACTAGCTGGGGAATGAAGGCATATGAGTGTGAGTCAGCACTCCTGGGGGACATCTCTTGAAGCTGGGAAATTAAAGATTGTCTTGTAAACTGTTGTAAGCACTTCCAGTCTTCAGTGGTATCTCTGCCTGTTGCTCAGAAGTGCCATGAAAGCATATGCAGAGTCTGTGGCTGTTATGAGGAGGAATTAGAGAGAGGATGAAGAGCTTTGAAAAGCACATATAATTGTCAATTTTGCCAGTAATATCTGGGTTTGTTCCCTAATTTGTCTTTCCCAGCCCACGCTGCTACAGAAATTATTCTTGTTGCTTATAGTTACTTCTATTTGTTCTGGTTTAATTAGAGCTTCGATAACTAAAACACTTTTTTTTTTCCCTTTCCTTTTTTTTTTTTTTTCCCCCCACAGTATCCAAAATACTGTCTTATAACTAGAACGAAGGAGCAATGATTTAGTGAGTCATTCCACAGCTGGGCTGATGCTGAACTCTGTAAGCCCTGACCCTACTTTTTAGATCAATTGCTCTGAAAGCAACCACGAACAAAATTCAGATAGTACTGTAGGTTACATTCCCCTCATGCCTCTCCTGGGTTTTGAAACTGGAAATGTTTTTTTCAGTCTTATTGTATAGATGTTTTGAACTAGCTGAATGTCATGTATATGTAGAAAAAAAAATAATCCAAGCTGTCCCTCCCTTGCTTCTGAACAAGAGCCTGTTAATGAAGGAGCAGCACAGTCATTTTTAATTTTTAGGCATTTCTGCTGTTTCCAGAATAAACGGGCAACACTTTAAAAAGGCAAGTAAAGTGTTTTTTTTTTTTGTTGTTTTGTTTTGTGTTTGTTTTTTTTTTTTTTTTTTTTTTTTCCCTCAGTGTCTTATGATGGTTTGGGGATTTCACCCTCAAATCACAAACTATTCCTTAAAAAAGTCAGTCTCACATGACGATCCAATTATCGCTTCTCTGACATTCTCTGGTAGCCAGAACAGAGCCAGATCCCTGAAGTTGAGCAAATACACTGAAAAAGAAAATCCCTAGAGTGTTTTAGGCTGGTTTATCTAAACATCTTCACCATGCTAAGGCAGTTCTGATTGTATAATTGCACCTGTACTGGTGGAGCATACACACTTACACGAGATGGACCAAACCATGAGCATTTCATGAGCATTTGACATGGGCAGGAAAGCGAGATTCAGAATGTACCTGGTTTGGGATCTGGTTTTCTATACCCACCCTGTGGCGCACTGTTCCCCTGGGTCACTGGAGGTTCCCATTCATGTGGAAACACCTGGGAGGATCGTGCCACATGGGGCTGTCCTCTAGACTGGTTTCTTCAGCTACTACGAGCATGCTGCATTTGTGTGAAAGCTGTAGCTTCTGATTTTACAGTTTTTTGGAATTCTCAGGGTGAAATCATAAGACTTGGCTCTAGGATATTTTTTTTTTTGCCTAAAAAAATCTTGTCTTATTAAGAGAAGAAAACTTTTAAGTAGCTTATTGTATCATGCAAAGCTTGTCACATGGGGCCTGTTGTGGAGGGCTTGGTCTCATGCTGTGAATACTTAGTACAGGATCACTGCAGTCTGTAAGCCTGAGGGATAAAAGAGCATCACAGCAGAGTGTAATGGGGCAGGCACTCCGTCAAATGCAAAGGGCTCCCATTGACGTGTATGGGATGAAGTCAGTGTGTTACTCTGAAGGCAGAGCTTAGCCTGATGCCATCACCAGTCAGCAATAGTTTTGTGCCATACGATTGCTTTTCAATCTTTGACTGTTGTAGAAATTACATGTGCACATTTTGACTAGTGAATTAACTGACTGCTTATACTTTGTACATCCTTTTAACAATCCCTGCACAAGCTGCAGTTATCCTCTTTATAAGGTTTTATTACTGCAAATGTTCTCAAGTTTGCCAACGCAGTTGCCATTGTCAGAATGATACTTTTTTTTTGATTGGATTTTGTTTGTTTGGATGTTTGCTTGTTTGGATGTTTGATTTTTTTTTGTTGTTGTTTTGTTTTTTGTTTCTTTTCTCTCTCTCTCTTTTTCTTTTCTTTCTTTTTTTTTTCTTTTTTTCTTTCATCTGTTCAAATGCTTATTTTACCTGTTGCCGAAATAGCTGGTCCTTTTTCGGAGTTAGATGTACAGTGTTTTGTACATTTTCTTATAGACTTTCCAATAAAAAGATATATTTTCTATTTATTTATTACAATGGCACTAAGACAACTAAATTGCAGACATATGAAGCATTTTACTGGAGTTTAGCATTGCCTAGGTTGTTAAGGAGGTCGGCAATATGGCTTTTCTGATAATCTGCTTTGCACTTGAAAGCTCTCTATGTCCGCAGAATGTGGTAATGCATTGACTGTCTGTTTTATGGTGACAAGAGCTGTTGGGACAATGGTTCCAAAAGATTGTGGCTTACAACTGAAATAACATGTAGTTGTTTGGAGTACACAATGTTTATCAAAATAAATATTCAATGCAAATTTCTTATTTTATTTTTGCCTCTTGTGTCTTCAGTGTATCTCTCTGAGTGAACTGGTATTTGCTGGAATATCGCCTTCTTCATCCAACTCAGTTTGTTCAGACCATTGCACCTCAAATGTCTTAGCTTACCTCTTGGTTGCTTAGTATCCTAAGAAAAGAAGGCTGATGAAATGCCACTAGGTCTAGAGTGGAGACTACCCAGCACCACCACCACCCCCCCCAGCCCCCAAACCCCCCACCACCTATTGCATCCAGGTGCACAGCTCCTTACTTATTTTAAAAGACAGAAAAAAGCTTCCTTAGTTTCCCTGTTCACAAAATATGTTATTTTAGTTAAATAGGGTGAACACACAATATGCATATACATGTAAATAATATATAAAACACAAAGTTTTTGTAGTGGGCAGCTGTTAAAGCTTATGACAATCTCACTATCAGATCAAATGTGACCTTTAGATTGTAAATTTTCCACACTGGGGCACTGCCAGCTGAGCAGACTCTGATAGACATCTGGAGGGTTCAAAACTGGAATGGGATTATTTTTTTTTTGGTGACAGAAATCAGCATTTCTAACATTCAAGCACATGTTTTAATCAGCCAAGTCCCACAGTGGTAGTTAGTGCATTAGAGAATATGGCCTTTGCTCCAGCCTACAGCATCACCTGCCTAACTCCTCCAGGCCAGGAGACCGAAAACACATGCTGCCCACTAATGTCAGATGGGAATTACTGAAGCAATCATGTTTTGAAGATCAACTACATGGAAAAAAAGGGGTGGGGAGGGGAGAGAGGCTGAATGTAAAGGCAGAAATCTTGATTCACAACACCAGTGCAGGGGAAAAAAATGTAATATTCATTTAATAGTGTGATAACAATAAGGGCTGCGATGCTGAGAGCTATCAGGCTGCCCCAGGGGCACCAGCCCACATGCCCAAGCTCCCTTCCCCTTGCTTCTCCTCCATTTTGCACCAACAGCCCTTCCCTCAGCAGCAAAGCTGCACATATAGGATATGTGTGTATAAGGTGTGTTTGTATATGTCTATGTATAGGAGTCTTTAGGGAACTACAGGCCTGTCAGCCTGACCTCGGTGCCAGGAAAGGTGATGGCAGAGGTCATGTGAATGCAATCACACAATGTATGTAGGACAGCTGGGGGATCAGGCCCAGTCAGCACGGGCTCATGAAAGCCAAGTCCTGCCTGACCAACCTCATCTCTTTCTATGGCCAAATGACTGCCTGATGGATGAGGAAAAGGCTGTTGACGCAGTCTGCCTAGACTTCAGCAAGGCCTTTGACACAGTCTCCCACAGCATTCTCCTGGAGAAGCTGGCAGCCCATGGCTCGGACAGGCACACTCGCTGGGTTAAAAACTGGCTGGACAGCCAGGCCCAGAAAATGGTGGTGAACGGAGTGAAATCCAGCTGGTGACTGTCACCAACGGTGTTCCCCATGGGTCAGTGTTGGGGCCATCCTCTTTAATATCTTTATTGATGATTTGGATGAGGAAATTGAGTGCACCCTCAGTGAGTTTGCAGATGCCACCAAGCTGGGGAGAAGAGTAGATCTGCTGGAGGGTAGGAAGGCACTACAGAGGGACCTGGACAGGATGGGTCAATGGGCTTACCAGGAATAGTGTACCCAGATCGTCCCCTTGTGCTCTGCTCTGGTGAGGCCACACCTTGAGTACTGTATTCAGTTTTAGGCCCCTCACTACAAGAAGGACATGATTAGAGACATGATTTAGTGGGTGACATGGGTAGTGGACGATGGTTGGACCAGATGATCTTGAAGGTTTTTTCCAACCTTAATGATTCTATGATTCTGTGTGCATGTACCTCTATGTCATGTAAGCATATACTTGGGTACAGTGTGTGTACATGTATTTGTGTGCGAGGCAGTGTTCATGGCTGTGTATGTCTATGATATATGCAGCCCTGAGAACTAACACCAAACTATACAGACAACTGTATCCAACTCTTTACACCAGCTCTAAAATAACCGTCTCAGCTGGGTGTACATATTCAAACAGCCCAGTCACACCAAACACACGAAGGGCACGCCGCGCAGCGCCGCCCGCAGGCCCGCAGGCCGCGCGTTGCCAGGGGTTACAAGGCGCTGAGCCCCAATGGCGCCAGCGCGCACGCCTCACGCCCCCACCGCGCGGCCCCGCCCGCTGCCTGCCCGCGCCCGCCCCCTGCCGGCCGCGCGCGGGACGCGGGACGCGGGGAGGTGCCCGGGGCCCGCTCAGCCCAGCCCTGCCCTGCAGGGGGAGGGAAGGGCAGCAAGGGCCTTCGGGGCTGGTTTTTTGTTGTGTTTAATAATATTATTATTTTATTTATTTTATTTTATTTTATTTTATTTTATTTTATTTTACTTTATTTTATTTTATTTTATTTTATTTTATTTTATTTTATTATTTAGTTTATTTCATTTTATTATTTAGTTTAATATTTTATTTTAGCAAAAAGGGTGGGTTGAATCATAAACAAAACGAAAACAAAACAAAAAAGAGATTTTGGTTCTTAAATAAACCCTTTCTTAGCCCAGCATGACAGTAATATTCCCAGCAGAGCGTCACAAGCTTATATTTAGTCTCTTCTGTGTGCCAAGCAAAGAACAGGAGCTGCTTGCTACCGGTTCTTCTCAGCTAGGAGCTGCAGGGCTGGTCTCCTCTCAGCTTCACAGCCCAACAGAGAGCCAAAGCCTTGCTGCTCCCACACACAGACAGCAAGGATCAGCTCTTTTACACCACGCTTTTTGTGCAGCCCAGCCTGCCCCCACCTCCCACCAGCACACAAGGCCAGTGCATGGGTCCTGATGAGTCCTGGCATCACCAACGGGCCATGATCCTGTCTGCTGACTCAGAGACTGTTCTGTTCTGTCACACTACCTTCCTTCTGACCAAAGGTTGGGGAGGGCTGTGGGGAAAACCACCACAGCAACTACACCCTTCCTTCCTCTTGCAGTCCTTCCTCACGAACGGCACCTTCAGAAGCCCCTCCCTGCAGCCATCTCTTCACCTCAGAGCCGAGTCCAGGCAGCGTGTCCCCTTTGAAACAAAAGCCCTGGGGAGCTCCATCACTTCACAAATACGTGGAGATTTCTGAGCTGGCGTATTGCAGCAGCCAGCAGCTATTGTGGGACACAGGCAGTGGCCTGCAATGAGGAAACTGAGAGGACTCACAGGGGGATTTGGTCTGGAGAAAGCCCTTTAGAAATAAACGTTTCCTCCCTTGGCAAAGTGAGGTTAGGGAGAGATCATCCCCAGTACAGTTGCAGCCTTGTCTTCTTTTGTGTAAGTGTGCAATGACCAGTACAGCTCGGAGATGTTTTCCTGAAGTGCCAGTCTCTCACCGAAGGAACAAGGGTCTGTGTGTTGGTAGCAGCACCTTAGAGAACTGGTACAGCTGATCTGGCTTTTATTTCTGCTGCACTACATCTCCAATATTTGACTGCTGCTACTAAGTATTTGGGTACTTCTTGAGTGTCATTTTTGCTGTCATGAACCTGAGGTTGATTTCCCATCCCAGGAAGTAAGACTGTCCTGGCCTATCGCTACTGCCACAAATACTAAGGTGACTGAAATATATTTCAGGCTCTGCACCACTAGGGTTATCTGAGACCCAGCAATATGGCTTATATGGTGATGCGATGAGGGAATAGGGTGGGAAGGAACAGAGACAGGATGGAAGGTGGAGGGAATGTGGCCTTTGGGTTGGGTTACGCAGCTCATTAGATCACAACAAAATACCTGCCTCCCACATTAAACACTTACAGTTTTCAAAATCCTCTACTCACCTGCTGTATTAAGTGCTAAAACACCTCCATATCTACGCTTCCACTAAGTTCCCTGGCAACTGCATCCTATTATAACTGCAATTATCTAAAGTTCACATGGCTATTAATGTGTTTTACAGAAGCAGAAAGACAACAGCTGACTATCAAGGATGGCAAGCTGGGCGGGTTGCACTGTGCTATGACAGGCAGGATAAATAATACAATGTTCATACAAAGGAATTCTGCAATTTGAAGTATGTACTGTTTTGGATACTTGTGAGATTTCATTTCAGATGACAGGATGAAAGACTCTATTTTGATGCACTCACCCCAGTGCTGCTGTTTAAGAGCTGAAATATCTGAAGGCACCCTAAATGGCATCAATTACAGTACTTCACAAGACAGGAAGACTCTGTCGTTATCACACAGTGCAGAGCTGTGTGGGATCAGCAGGCAAGGAGCAGTGCCTGACCCAAGACCATCCTTATCTTAACAGCAAGTTCATGTGCTCTGCCAATATGTATTTGCTGGCCTTTGCCAGTAAAACTGGAAGGAGGCTGCAGCTCCTTTAACTATCCCGTTTCTCCCTCCCACAATAGCATCCAACATTTCAAAAAAACTTTTTTTTTTTTAATTATCTTTTATTAGAATTTTTTATTGTCAGTTTAAGTGATTAACAGACCTACTTTTCATATTAGAAAACTCCATCGTTACAATGCCACCGATAACTTATTCCCAAGTAAGAGCAGTACCAATAGTGAAACCACCAGCCTATTAAGTAGCATCACACTGGAAAGAAACAAAGCATTAACCAGTTGTCTTTGGATAAAATCTGGTACACTGTGTAATGTTTGATTGTAATGTGTTATATCAGCCTTTTAAATAATAATCAGAATCCACAGTGCACAAACCTCTTCTGCTTGAGATGCACTGTGTGTCCAAGCAAATTGCATTGCCAGACTTTTTTTTTTTTTTTTTTTTAATTGGAAATTAAACAGTAGAGTGTTTTCCCCTCATGAATCCAAGCAGCTTTAACCTCCTGGCAATTTAATATAAACTGAATCCAGAGTCTTGCCCCTGTTAAAGTGACAGTGCGAAAGACTGAAAACAGTGATATGCAGATGGAGTAAAAATTATCAAATGAAACTATAGCAATACACATAGTAGGATGGAAATCTTAAGAATCAGAAACATCACAGTACTAATGGAACAGGTATTTGCAAAAAGAGGCATCTCCATGCCTCTTATCCAGGCATGAGCTCTTTGCATTGCTGTAAACATGCAACACAATCAAAGAAAACTCTGAAGAAGGCAAGCACTGTTGCTCCTTAAATAGAAAAGGAAATGAGCCACAGAAAAACTGGAAATACATGTAATTCCCAAGCCTTACCATAAAGCCCAAGAGAACAATGGCCAAATATCAAACAAAAAATGGGCTGTTCCATATCTTAATGGAATGATATTTTAATTTATGATTTCCTTTTTGAAAGAAAATTGAAAGAGTTTAAAAACAGTCACAGGAATGTGGGGGTCTTTTTGAAGCCAAAGCTGACCTGACTTTTCAGAGAAGAGAAATGCTTTGAGAAGTGAGTATCAGAAGTCTTGTTGGCTGGGAAACTTCTAAGCGTGTCATAACGGACTTGGAGATGGAATTTTAAAAATGTGTCCTTCACCTACAATCAAGTGCAAGAATGGTGTTAAGAGACAAACTGAAAGCTGCAAAAGGAATGTGAACTACAAATCCTACGCATCTTTTGCTAGCAGGAAAAAAACTGCAGCAGATAGAGATAAAAGACTGGTAATAGGCACGCTTTTATATTAAACTGATGGCACTGAACTTTATTACATTGTTTTGTGTAAACCTTAGCAATGTAATCAGGTCTACACCTGGAATTCTCCTCTCTTTAAAATCAATGTTTACACTGCTTGCGTCTCCTAAATAATACGATGTAGTCTTTGGTGTTCTGTACTAAATTCAACCATCAGGATTCAACTGTTGCATATGCTTCTTCTCTCAGGTCTTCCAGGTCCTTGTCCTGGTAATTTAAAAGTCAGCTTCCTTCCTTACTTTGCTTGATGATGTTAAGCCCCCAAGATTAGAAAATGCCCTTGTTCTCTTCTAGGTAGGAATTTTAATTGGAAAAAAAAAAAAGAAAAACAAAACAAAACACAAAGTGGAACACACAGGGCAAACAGTATACATTAGGATTATCTTGAAAAAGAAAACAAATATTCATTCCAATATTTTATCAGACAAAATATTGTCAACTGGAAATGTTTTACAAAATGCACATTGCACATCGTTATTAAAATATAACAATAACCTTGAAAACATAACAACACTAGAACAGAGAAATAACTAAATGGTGTAGAGAAAAACAGCAAAAGTTTAGCTGTCAGGACAGTAGATGTTTTTCCACGTACCTCTGTGTAGAACTTAATAAGAAAGCAAGTACAAGAAGATCTGTAATCACCAACCTACTTGTTGAACTTCGTTGTAAAGGCTGTATCTTTTGCCTGCATATAGAGCCACAAAAAGCTGTTGGAAGGCTGGTGAGACTTGAATGCACAACATTGTACAGTGAAAACCAGCATTTGCTCGGTTACTTCTATGATATTAACAACCTCAAATAACTTTTTGAAGATATTTTTATACTTATCTATAATATTGTCTTTGGGTCTCTTAAATGAATAGAAAATAACATTGATTATGTAGCACTGTACCAGTACAACTGCTAGGATCCCAAAGAGTTTTGAAAGGGAACATTAAATGTTTTGGAGTAGAATTATGAACTGCGATATTGGAGAAAGACTGCGTGGTGATTAAGTTACTTCCAGATGACCACATTACACTTAATAGCATATTTATTCATTTGTTGGCTATAAAGCATGGGTGGCAGAGGGCGGGGGGAGAAGAAAGAAGGAAAACACAAGACAAAGTCTACTTGAAGGCATTTTTTTTGTATTTTATATGAGGAAAAAAAAAAAAAAAAAAAAAAACACCGAGTCAAACACCAGAATACCTAGCAAAATCTTTAAAAAAGAAAGAGAAACAAACAAACAAAAAAATTGAAGTGAGCTATGTGGTACAAAACATGCCTACATTTGGCAAATTCAAATTAATCACTCAAAAACAAACGATTGGCCAACTGGCTGGTTGAATTTCAAAGCTGGTCTCTCCCAGTTCTTTTAACTTGAAGGGGAAGAGCCTACTGTAAACACTGATTCATGAATGATTAAAACAAGTGTCTATTCTCAGAAGTTGAGCTAGAGTTGTAGGGTACTATTTGTCCCTTCTCCTTAGCATATTTGATTCTATATTATCCATATATAATTTTGCATCGCTTAATTATTCAGCCCAGGAAAAAAAAAAAAACACAGTTTGATCAAAAAGTAGTCATATGCTTATGCTTTGTAACATTAGGAAAACTACGGAACATTTCCACACATTTCTGATGGTAATCTGAATTGTCATCTCTATATTACAGATTTATGTTGTAAAAAGACAAAAACATGGTCAACGTCATATTTACAGTTTCGTTTGAATTATGTTCATCTTTTGAGAAGCAATATTCTTTAAAAGAAGGGAGGTACAAAACCAGAAAAAAAAATAATACAGAATGATCAGTTAATTATGAACAAGAAACGGATTACACATCTCTCCCCAGTGCAATATCCAAGTATCTACAGAGACTTATCTCAACTCTGCCATGTTTTTGGATTAACAGTAGTATATAAAAGTTAAACCTGAAGAAATACATGATTTTCAGTTTTCCAACAATTCTTTAATGAAGTGTGGTAGGAAAGGTTTATTTAATACTCAACATAAATGCCACTGAAAGTAAATAAAAATGATCACCTGGAACTTCCATTGACATCATTCAGTCCTTACAGGTAACTACAGAAACCAAAGATGGGTTAGTTTCTCCCCAGGTATCTATCTAAATGTGTTGTTATTTAAAAGGTTTTACTACTAAGTGAAACCGTAAGTTTAGCCACATAATTTATTTTGGAACAAGTACTCAGTAAGTCACAGTTTCGCACTTTTGATGTTGAAGTATTCCACAAAATCAACCATTATGGTTCAATTAGGACCCTTCATCCAAAACACCTGGATATTAGCACCTTAAAAAAAAGGTCAAAGCAACATTATCTTAGTACTACTGAATGAAGACAATTAATACTGTGCTAATACTCTGGAAAACAATAAACAATGTGGAAAAAAAACTCGGTGCGTTTAGTCCTTAACACATAGTAAGGGATAAAGGAAATGCAACTCTAAGCCATGCATTTAACGGAATACAGATTGCATTATCATTCAACCTTTCTAATTACATAAAGTCTTTCAAGAAGAAATCAGACTTGCTCCCAAATATCAATCTTCATAGCATTTAAATCAATGTTCATTTACAGTCAACCATGTCACTCAGGAATCTACCAAAAAATAATTAAAAAAAAATCACCACGATCTGGTTATTAGACATCATTAATTGGTACGTCTACTTCATGTGTACCTCTCTATTGAAACTAGTGTTTTTTCAAAGATTTAAGCAAACCCTTAGCAAAACAAATTAATTTGAGTTAAGGTTGTATCTGCTCACTCACTGTCAAGATAACGGGGCATACGTAGCATTTGCATTGGTGGGCACAGTTCTTTGGCAGCAGTAGCAACGTGAATGCCATGAATCTGACTTTTCCTTTCACCCTGACACCGTTCCTGTTGTTGGTGTTGTAATTCCATTAACCTCAACAGCATCAATTCTGATGGGTACAGAATCTCTTTTGTACTGATCTGGAGTGCATTAGTTGAGGATGTACCTAGCTTCTAGTACTTCTAAGGGCTCCTGTGCATTTTTGGTAATGGACAGAAGAGTTTTTGTTTATTTTAAAGAAAGGCAGTCCACTCAGACATGTCCTAAACCCTGTAATTTCAGGCACCTTTGGCCACTGTAACACTGTTCTCTGCAATTTCAGCCAGTTTTGCAAACTAAGCCTGGCAAACTGGCTTCCCAAAGTATCTTTTAGAAATGAACTCTGCTACCTAAGAGCAACGATGAATGAATGACCAACTTGCATACCCATGACAGACAGCAGCTACTACAGGTAAACATGGGTGTATTCCGAGACAGTACTTCTTCCCTTCCACTTAAGTTTGTAATGTTAGATACACATTTTCATGTTAACTTTGAACAACAACAAAAGCATGAAGAATTACAAACCAGTCAGTCGCCGGTATTAAACATTACCTTTCCCGTAACTAAACAAATGGCCAACATTAATAAGTAAACCGTTGTATTTCAACATAGAAGTCTTTTAACCTCAGTAATGTCTGCTTCCTTCCTTCCCCCCAGTAAAGCCAGAAATTGTACAGAAACTCCAGTTTCCCTTCAAGGAACAGCAGAGCAGTATTCAGTCTGGTTAATGCGACTGTCATAGATCATCTCTCTGCTTGGTTGCTCGGTTGTCCTCTTTGCTGCTTTTAGATTTCTTGTCTGCATCTTTTTTCTTCTTTGCTTTTTCAGGTTTTGTTTTGTTTTTTCCTTTCTCACTTTCATCTGCTCCTTTGCCAGGATAAACCTGGCCTTCCAGAGTAACATCCGCACACCTTTCTTGACTTATCAGAAAGTCTTTGATCTCCCAGGCATAACCGCCATCACGCAGCATAAAGATTGCACGATTTGAGCCAACAATGAACCTAGAGGAAAGATACATATTTTTTCCAGTTAGCTCTGTGCCTTTCCAGTGCTAAAATATTTTGCTTAATTCAGAGCATTCCAAGATAGACATCCATTTAAAAGCAAGAAATTGGTCTTGTTTTTGTTGTTGCTTGGGTATGAGGATGAGAACATTTTACTAGCACACACATGAATAAAAAGTATTAAGCTTACAAACAACTAAGTAGGAGACTACATAGAAAACTCTAGAACTAATTTGACACTATATAGAGTCTACTAATGGACATTAGATCTGTTTCATGGTCTTACTGCAACCCTTCTCAGTCTCAATTCAAGAGTGCAACATTCCTCTGCTTCAAAACCATCCTCTTTCTCAGATAAAAATCTCATTTTTAGCCAGGGCAACAAAAAGCCTTTCGTGGTTACAAGTTTTCCAAGTGTGATGTTTTCCATCAACACATAAAGGCAAACTATTGCAGCTAAAACTGATAAATAGTTGAACCATAATGAGATAAAAAGAAGCTAGGCTATATACACATTGTGAGTAAGTGTTAAAAAGATCCGTGCGCCACACTAGAATTTTTCCAGAGTGACTTAGAAGAAAAACAAAATTGTATGTAAACTGATGCAGAAACAAAGCAAGAGTGAGGATCGATGGAGCTAGCGAAGAGCACAGGATGAACAACTGAAAATATTTTCAGGAATAAAGAAATAAGAACTCTGTAAAAGCAAAAAACTCATCCTTGTGTACAACAGCTTACCTTTGTACATCATAGTTTGCATTGAAGAGACTGCCCTGCCACAAGCTGGTAATTTCTTCTGTCTCCTTTTCTGTGGGATTTCCTGACACAGTGACAAACATCATCAGAGTCTTCCCCTTTTTCGTCAGTTTCAGGATACTTTCAGGCTTGCCTGGATCAATTTTTGAGAAATCTATTGGTGCTGGAGGCCTCTTGTGTTCAGGAAGATCCCCCTCTTCAATGTCGTCATCCTTCTGTTTTGAAAAGGAAAAGGATAATTTAAAGTTACCAGTTCCACAGAACTGTACTTTTTTAAAGCTCTCCATTGCTTACAAAGTAACTCTGCTTTCATAGAGACAGTAGTTTAAAAAAACGGAGACTCTTGAATAAAAAGAAACATCGAATTTTATCTCAGGGTATGTCACTAAGAGTGCTCTTCCCATTTGTAAGCCTCCCCTTGCAATGATGCACATTTTCATACCAACAGGCAGAATCTTATTTTACCATGTACTGAGAAATATTTCAGCCTGATGGCCAATTCAACGCAACTCCACCTTGGTACTTCGAAAATAACCTCTTTTTTCTTCTTTGGAGTTTCATAGGAGTTTACTAAGCAAACAAGATGATCTGAGAAAAAGCTGCACTGAAGAGCCTCACAGACATATAAATAACAATAAAAGCAATGTACAACCAAGGTCAATGCTCAGTTCTGGGAACTTTGCCATTAATGAGAATTTCATTTTCCTCACTATAGTCTTTAAACAAATAAAAGAATTCAGAATTTCAATGCTCAAGTCACAAGAAAACTTTTATTTAAGGTTTCATGATTTTTCTAACGCACAGATGAAGAGAATTTCACTTTCTGACAACATAATCACCAAGACATTGTTAGATAAAAGAAAAAAGAAATTATTAATGCTTCCGCGGACGTCGACAGGCATTTAAATATTTGGAAAGGCAGAATTCAAACTACTGCCCCTTGAAAAAGCTCCCAACAGAGATGAGTGAGTACAGTGACAACTTACATTAAGCCACAATTTGATTGTTAACAGTATTTATATTACAGAAATAAAAAAAAAAAAAAAGGAAAAAAAATAAATCAGAAATCTTATACTGGCATTCACCCAAGCACTAGTAAATCTGTGGGAATTAAGGTAGATATTTTAGGTGTTGTTTTGACTTCAAACATTTAGCAAAAATATCCATTGCTCCATTAGGCATGTGAACTGCAGAAGTATCTAGAGATATTCCCCCTTCAGAAGCCTCTGAGGTCAGAAGCCCAGCTTAATTTTTAGAGCTCCGTATGCATTACTCTCTCATTTCTGTCTGTGTGTATAAACTCCCACAACACCCTCACACTACAGGGAGTGTCCCCTACCCTTTAAAGGTTAAGGTTTCATATAAGCGACCTACACTCTTTTCCCATCTCCATTACATACAATGTCCTGTCTTTCTGGCAGGGGACTTCAAAATTTAATTACTATAGAAGGAGATTTGTAAATTACTTACATTTCATCCCTCCCTTTCCTTACTAATTACATATCTGTTTAAATTTTTCAAGTCTGAAGCACGCATTTAAGTAGTTCGCATGCCTTTGACATTTCCACATTAAGTGAACTGGGAGCAAAGGAGAGGCCTAGGAAAGTCCCGCTGCTGTCACTAAGCGGGACAAGGCTTATTGTAGAGGAAGCCAGAAAACACTTGTATTTGTAAAGTATTTTTGAAGTACAAGATCTTACACGATTGAATGAAAAATGTTCTTCAGAAGTAAGAGCAAATTAAACCTTACTTCATACCAGTTTGGCTAGTGCAAAACCAACTTATTGCATAGTTTTGAAAGGGAAAGGCAGAAACAAGTGTTTGCAAATACTCCTTATACAATACAGAAATTGACTTCAGCTTTAGTGACAGCCCAACCTAGGAATATATATTACCTGTTTTTTCCCTTAACAATTCAACTGAATGTTCATAAAACACTATTATTGCAGTTTCAGTAGAAACATTATAAGAAGCAGTCAAAAGTTCCCCTACATGCTATTTCTTTTCTTGGTGATCTTGTACAGAACATCGCACAATTTTGTAGTTATAAAGCTATCTACAAAGTAAAGACAGAAAAGTGTAAGCTTTTGATTTGAAATGTCCAACAGATTTATTAATGTATACTCTAACATGAGGTGTCAAACGGAAAGCTTTGCATAGATACAGTCACAACTATATATTCCTTCTTTCTTTGTCCTCCCTTCAGTTCATATTCTGGTATCTTTCTCATCAACTTCCTGTATCTTTATTTTTAAAAATATCAGCAATAAATGCCACCTAATTCCATAGCCTATTAAATACTCATAGCTCAGAGTCAAACCTTAGAAACCCTGAAGCTTATAGCAACAGCAGACTGTTTGGAAGAATGACCTTTTAGCAACAGAAGAACCTCCAGACGAGATTTCTCAGTTCTGTTTCCAGCTCCTCTGGACTCAAGGCTGCGGGAGAGTCCCTTACCACATGGGAAATCCCTGGGTGGCACACACCAAGCCCATTTTTCCTACCCTATTTCTTCTCTACCAAAAGCAATGACTAAGTACACCAAATGCTGACGAATCTTAATTCATTCACTGATCCCTGTGGGGGTAGAAAGGCACCAAAATTAAAACCTGCAAGCTGTCAAAATTAAAACCCTTTAACTTCTCAAACTTTGGCAAGCCTGCTTTATTCCAGCCCATTGACCTTAAAAGTTTGAAAAGATCTTAGTAGTAACTTTGTCCCTTCAGGCCTTAGTGGTATCAAAACAAGCTTCCACGTTCATAAGGAAATATTACTTATCTATCTGCAGTTAATATAAGCAGAAATTTTTAAAACAGTCTCACAAGTAAGAAAGCAGGATGCAAGAAGACAGAGCTCAGAGCTCATACTTTTAAGCTCTAGTTGACATTCTGCAGCTGAGCTGCTGAAGCAAAATCCTTCTTTTCTTCTCTCCCCATGTTCATTCCCCACCAGATCATGCTATGTTCACTAGGCAGCCACACACATTGTGCCAGTACCTTGCCAGGCTTGTGGCTGACCCCAGGGATGCTGAGACCACCACCCTCCAGTGATTCTGTGCTGATTGCCATGGGAATAGAGAATATTAAGAATCATCGCACTCGGCTGAAACTAAGGAAACTTGATTCTGTACAGCTCTGCGCCCTGTGCCCCCTCACTCCCGAGCATAATTCTTGCTCTTATCCAGATTCATAATGGCTTCTTTGTTTCTCTCATCCCCACCCCACCAAGCCCATTCTGGGCCTTTCTTCTTTATCTGCCACCCCACCCTCAAGTCTTTCATATTCCCCACATCTGCCCTAACTTCTCTCGGGGGAAATGCCATACAGCTGACCATCCAGCAGACCACATAATCAGTAATTGTTGAGCCTCTGCTTCAGTAAGATCTTTTTCTTCTATGGCTCTGGCTGTACATGCATCTCCTCAGCGGCAACACCAACCTGAGCTGCAAACTCTCCAGCTGCTCAGCCACATCTGCATGCAGCATGGCTGCAAGCATTCGTGCAGCACATGGCGAACTGGATCCGAGTCCTGCTCTAGCAAAAGAGATAAAACCAGAACAGCTTCCTGACCCTGCTTACCACACAGCTGGAACAGAACACAAAGCCAAAGAGTCCCAAAGGCAGTAACTTGCGTCTCCCTTTCACCAAACTACGAATTCACAAACTCAGCCATGCTTATCGTTTACAGTTTTTCCTACTATGCCAAACTTGCTTGAATTTGCCCACTAATATCATTTAAGATGATATTTTAGCACCTGGGACTATCTGGTCCTTGGCTGATAACACTAACAGAAGGTGAACTTTGGGCTTTTTACATCATTTAATTTAAATTTTAACTCAATTTTCTAAGAAAATACCTTTCTGAAGGCGGAGAGACACAGTAACATTTCATGGGAACAAGGAGTCCCCAGCCAGCCAAGCGGTTCCAAGGCAGGCACCCCTACTTCTCAGAGAAGTAACTGCATCTGGATTACAAATACAAATCCTACTTCTTCATTTTGACTGGCAGCCGTCACTGGCATTGCATGAGACAGAAGCTCTCCTCCAGTTTTTGTGCAGAATGTTCTGGAGAACAGCCTCACGAATAAAAACAAGGCACGAGCACTCTGGTATTTATCAGAAGATGACAGAACACAAAAATAAACAGAGAAGCGAGCAGTAGCACGACGACCACATTGAGAAATGAGTGGTGAGGAACTGTCCAAAGTGACCTGTCAAAGAAAGTTCAGGTGGCGGGCTGATGGGGATGGAGGGCAGAGAGATGGAATTAGAAAACACCATTATAATGAGGGGTGGCAGGGAAGGGAAAACACAACCCACGGAAGACAAACAGACAAAACCCAACGATATAACCACTCTGTAAAGGTGGAATGGACATCCCTCTTGCAACCCAACCTTCACTCACAAAATCCTTATCGCTCAACGTTGCCAATCGCTGGCATCGCACCGCCTGCGAGCCTCTGCAGCTGGGGTCGTTCCCCAGCCGGGTGTCGGGGCTGGTGGCGTTGGGCAGAGGGCGGCTGGAGGTGCCCGGGCTGAGGACAGCACCCAAGGGACCCGCTCAGCCCGGCGATGCCCCCTCAGCGAGACACAAACCAACCCCAGCCGCCCGAAAGCCACCGAGCATCCATCCCTCCCTTCTCCCTTCCTCCCGCACGCTCCGGGCGCCCAACCCCTCGCCGCACCTCCCACTGCTCCAGCAGCCGGGCCATATCCGCATCGTTGTAATCCCGAATGTCCTTCTTCTTAGCCGGCCCGGCCCGACGCTTCCCCTCCGGCTCGCCAGCCCGGGCGGCCGCGCAGAGCCACAGCGCCAGGCCCAGCAGGGCCCAGCGAGCGGCCGCCGCCATCTTGTGCCGGAGCTCGCAGCCGCGGGAGGGCGGCCCCGGCTGCCGGCAGGGGCGGGGGCCGGGGAGGGGAAGGAGGAGAAGGAGGAGCTGGAACGGGAGACGGGAGCGAGAGGCACCGGGGGACACCGGGGGTGGGCTGAAAGGCGAGAGGCAGCCCCGCCGCGACATGTCGGCAGCCGGGATACAGCCCCAGGGGACACGGACCTGCAAGTGGAAGCTCGGCCGTGGTTTTACAAACGTAGGGCTGGGCAGCGCCCGGGGTCCTCCCGCTTCATCCTTTAAAGCAGGGCGAGGAGGATCCGTGTCTGTGGGATAGGAACCGGACCCACTGCACTGAGTCTCTAAACTAGTGATTTAGTATCACAGCGATATCAGTTTTTTCTCTAATAGACGTCTAAAAATAAAGCTGCTTTGTTACTAAAATAATATCCCACAGCATCTGACCACCACCAAAAAGAGAGTGGTAGGCTTTCTCTTTGTAACTCTACTTTTCCATTATCCAAAACAAAATGAATTATACGAATGAATGTCTGTATAGGCATACTTAACTCTTCGGTCTTTATTTTTTCCTCATACAGGTGATTTTAATTATAAATAGCCCTATCTTCTATTTAATTATTTATTTTATGTGGACTCCAGTAAGTTTAAACTTGGGAATATGAAGAAACATCAGAGCAGCTGTTACTGGCGATATTTGGGCCGGGCTGATTAGCTAACGGGATGCTCTTCCATCTGCACACAGGCACCCAGGGCAATGGAACCAGTTCGGAGCGAACACCCCAGCCCTAATTCTGTCACTGCACATAGTCCTGCAACAAACAGGAGCCCGTTGTGCTAATGGGCACAGCACGCAGAACAGAAGCAGTCAGTAGGCATCTGGGGCATGGGTTCAGGAGGCTTTCTGAATCCAGGTCTAACTCCTGACCTGATAAAAATCCTGATGGGACATGTAGCTTGTGAACTTCTGGCAGGCGTGCCACACGAAGCAGCAGCAGCTTGCCAAGCACACACGCAGTATGAGAAACTGGAGTCTCCAGGACTTAGCAGGCAGCGGAGGATGTGGGATCCAGGATTGCAGTGCCCTGATAAGCAACCAGACTGGTCTGCAACCTCCATCCTGAGGGTTATTGTTTTATAAAATTTCAGAAATACTACCGAGTGTGCCTGAGAAACAGGAAGCTGTTAGACTGTAGCTATTCATGGAGCTTGTTAAATGTACAGTAACTGGAGCAGGGTTTTAGTCAAGTACCTCTCACAAAGCTGTCCAGTAAGTCACTAATGAGCACATTTGCTTGGTGATTTCTCATAGTTTCCTGATATTCGTTATATTTAATATCAGATTGCCCTGATTAATGAGGTTTTACTAAAGTATGTTCCTGCTTACTTTGTTATTACTGGATCAGACCTACATTTGCTGAGGGGAAAAAAAAAAAGACTACAGATTCAAATTTGGAATGTTAGACTTGCAGCATAAAATGTATTTTTACTTAATTTCTACTGGGAAATATTTTCTTCAACTGTTTTTTCTTACTGGAACAACCCAGCCAACTTTGACTTTCTTTAATATCTGGTGCTACATTCACATGTGGATCTCAAAAGCAATGCAATTTCCTTTGCTGAGTGAATAATAAGTTCAGTATATCAAGCATTGCACCAAACAACCCTATGCATTTCTTTTTTAAATTAATGCTTTTATATGCATGGCAGGGAGATACTTTTCGTGCTTGTCTTTGAACATGCAACTATCAGGCAGAATTCTGTGTCCAGGAAGAACTTTCTCAAAGCATATATGCTCTGTGGAGTCACCTGCAGGACAAACACCTATTCATACTCTTTGTACTCCACTGTTCTTTCCCATACATGAAACAAAAGCCAAGCAGCTATACATTCATATCACTGACAGGAAAAAAAAAAAAGGCTATTTTTTTATATTTTTTTTTTTAGTGAAACAGGCTGTGTTTGGTTCAGGGTAGCTATAGAATCATACAAATAGGCTTTTCATAGTTTAAGCACTCTCATATTCCTTAACAACATTTATAGTCCTAGAGGCTAACGCTACTATAATTACAATACAGAGCATACCTGATAATAAATAGCTACTGCTATTCTAGATTGCAAATGCAAGGTGCTTAATGACTTACCTGGTAGCTTAAAGTCTCATCTAGTCATGCCACGGGAAGTCTCAAGCTGTGAATATCATTTCAACTTCCGCAACACGCAAATTTTATTACTAGTGTTTTCAATTACAAAGTTATACTTTATCAAAAATGCAAATCTACTTCCCCCTCTTGATTTAAAATGTTTTCATTATTGAGTAGGGTTAGGTCAAGTTATAATTTGAGATGATTCAGGATGTCCTAAATTTCTGTTAATGAAGTTTGGGATTCTCTGTCCACCTGACTTTTTTATTTTTTTTTAATCTAGGCTTCATTTTTTGGAACTATACTTCTGCATAAGGTACTTCCCAATACTGTTATTTCATATGAGTTAGGAGAAGAACATGCATATATTTTGAATTGCCAAAAGCTCTCAAGTCTTTGATGGTGGTAGATTTCCATGTGCAGTTTTCTATCTAAGCATGGATTCTCATTCATCATATTTTACTTTTATTTGCAAATACAGTACAACAGAGGTAACGCATTGGATATTACAACTTTTCCATTGACAGTCACCTTGGAAAAAACAAAGAACTTGAAATCACCAAGAAAAAGGCAGATCCTTCTTGGAAGGACACGAAGACATTTCAGAGCTGAAAAGAAACTAACAGCATCAGAAGATCAACCCTAAGCACGTAGAAGGGTGAAAGAAGGTGCAAGAGCTACCTGCTATCAACCCATTCCATGTCTGGAAGAAGCAATTCATTTTAAGAACTCTACTAATACAAGAGGATGTTTAGTAGTGGCTCAGGTGAATGAGGTGTTGCAAAAGGCAGCCTTTAAGTGATTGCTTGGAATAGCTAAAATGATTAAGGTCTCATGGACAGATATGCTCTTTACACAGTCAGGTAGAAATTACACCTGCTTTTGCACCTACATGGTTAGTAAAGGACAGGCCCAATACTGTGTTAAGTAATACAGAAGACTTGGTCAGTTGCAGATGAAAGAAAATTTGAAGCAAGTTTTGAGATGACCCAGCATTCAGAGTACTCTTACTCTATTTAAAAGCATTGTCCTACGTTTTACAGAATGCCAGGGTATTCTGAGTTACTTCCAGTAAAACATTCAAAATTAGTGTTTTCATAGTTCGAATTAGCTTAAGTACCCTAAATTTTCCCCTGCAGAGACAATCTAATGCATGAGCTCTCATGCAAAGACTGTGCGTTTGTTAATTCAGTCTTCTAAATACAGTCACAATCACGGAAAAACTTGAAGAATGAGACACGATTAACATGTTCTTGTTAAAAGCAACAAAATATTTCTAAATCTCAAGAAAGAAACGAAAATGTTTCTTAACACTGTTACTAGCAGCATAGCAAGCAAAGCATCCAGAAATGCAAAATAATATTTTGCATCCAGAGCAAAATATGAATTACTTAGAATAATTCCAGTCCTCAGATTAATTTCATTAATAAATCAAACACTCACCATCTATTAAGAGAATGCATATTTTTGATCTGGAGCTAATCAGACCTTTAACTCTTGGTTCCAAGTTGAAAAATTCTCCCAAATCAGGGGTCAATTACTATGATTTGAACATAAATTTCTGATTCAATTATAACCCTGAAATTCAGATTCTGAATTCAGTTTTGACCATATATTCACCACAAAGTTATAAAATGTGCATGCACATAATAACATAAAGTAAAACTTAAGAGACTGAATGGAGATGTTTGACAAACAGTATGTTAATTTCACAGCATCACCCATCTGATCAGGTTTGGGGAGGGGGGGTGATGTCTGTCATAGTCAACTGCAATAAAGGTAGACACTGAAATCCTTAAATTCAGGAACACCACAGAACGTTCTTGTCAATACCTGTTTTACCTCAAAGTTTGCTTGAAATCTGTGCTGGTTAAAACTAAGTATTGGTTATACAATTTAAAGTTACCCTCTTAAGAAACGAATTACATTGAATCAATGTCAAAGAGGAATTTTATATTGTTCCCACAAGAATTCCATTTATAGCCTATTTTCCACACTCTAAGTCAAATTAATTTTGTAGTCCCAATTTAATTTTAGGTTTACAGGTCAGTTTTGGCACCTACATCCAGTGTAAGTAATACATTACACGAACTTCTGATGAATTAAAGGTGTTAGACTCAAACTGGTAATGATCAGCAGCTCCCCTCAAAGATTACTCAGGCACAATATAAGAGAAGTGTAGGATCAGAGACTCCTTGCAGTTAGCCTACGAAAACATCTATTAAATCCTCTCATGATATATATTAAAAAGGAGAGGGAGTTAAAAAAGAAAACAAAAACTTCTGTTGAGTATTACAGCTGCAGGACTGAACATATAACCAAAAATGCAATTCAGGAAGGGTGGGCCCTTGCACATTTTGTTCAAAATACGAAGTTCTCCTTTGATCTCAAAACAAAACAAAACAAAAAAACAGAGCTAAAGGCCTGAAAGGAGGGTCTGGGATTCCTGTTTATGCTTAGGCCACTCTTACCAATGGCATTTACTACTCTTCCATTAAGTGCTTCTGAGTTTCAAGCCGACTGATCTATAAACCTGTACCTGTACATGGGACCATGATGCAGAAAGCCATGACTGGCTCGGTCAGCATAAAACATGGCACAACCTTCCATTCTGCGAAAACCAAGTTTTGCAGCTGTATTTTCCTTTTACACAAAAACCTGTCTCTTTACCACATCAATGTATTAAAAATCCGTATTTACAGCAGGGGACAACCAATCAATTGTATATGGTAAGTGGTGAAAACAACAGTGAGACAACCAATCAATTGTATATGGTAAGTGGTGAAAACAACAGTGAGATAAACAGTGAATAAAGAGAGGAAAAAGTAAAACCCATATTATCTTTCTGTTGCAGCAGCAGGAGCTAAGCAGTATTTCAGGCATGAATTAGATACTTATATTACCCTATCTATTTA